ATAAGAATTATATCCAATTGTTGAAATTTTAATATCTTTTGTATTTATTAATTTATACTATCTTTTTTTATCATATTTATTTTTATTTAATATAATTTTGATCTTAAAAAATATAGTGTCTATGACACTCTTCATCAGTTAGTACATCAAGCGTGGCAAGAAATCGCGGCCAACCCTTTAATGAAAGGACAAAACAACATAGAATTGAATTGGCATTTCGTACGCCAATACTATTCACACTATTTTTTTTTTCTTTCACTTTAAAATGAGATAAAAATTTAAAATTTCTTATTAATTTATAATATGTTTAGTAAAAAACCAATAATGATAAAATTGTTACAAAAATATATATCATTCATATAATCACTATTTATATAGATTGGCTATTACAATTGAATTTGGTATTTTTTTTGAGATATTCTTTTAATTTTATAAAAAAAAAAATCAATTATTAAAAAAGTGGTGGTATGTGAAGTCAATGTTTATTTTATTTTATTGTAAATTTTAAAATTTTATTTGAATTTACGAATACCTGTGACACATATGTATACATATGTATACAAGTCTACCCCTGAATATTATAATTTATAAATGAGTACCAACTACCAACAAATAAAATGGGAGGCGAGGGCAAGGGAAACATTACCTTATTGCTATTTCTAGTTTTGGGTTCTTGGCAGCTCTGACGAATGGATTACGGCGGTGATGCAAGCAGTGATTAAAAAATGGCGCAAGCAACTATGAATGGGCGGCGAGTAGCTACGGGAGCATGACGAATAAATAGCAACAAGAAGAAGAACATAAAGTGACAAATAATAATAAGAAAAAAAAAAAAAAGCAATCAAGATAAGAACGAGTTGCGACATATGAAAATAACAAAGTAGGGATAAGGATTTTTTTTATATTATATATATATACATATATACATATATATATATATATATGTATATATATACATATATATATTGTTTTTTTTTTTCAAACCAGTATATACACTTTTTGTGATAAGATATTATACATATTTTTTTCATCTCTACTTTATCTATTTATCTTTAATATTCTTGGATCAAAATCTATTTATCTTTAATATTCTTGAATCAAAATCTCAAAATAATAATAATAAAAATTAATTAATACTCTAATCTAACGATGTTAAAGATAATTAAGCATAAAAAACATATTTTTTACCAAACTTTTCTAATTTTTTTTTTTGGTAAATAACTTTTCTAAAATTTATTCAAACTACTATTAGACAAATAAAATAATAAACATTCAAGTTTAAAAAACTGAGCAGCAATAATATAATAAATATAAATAACGGGTAAAATGAATAAAAAGGACAAAGGTTAATACATATATCATTAAGGATATTTATTTAATTTGATAAAGGGAGTTTCACCCTCATTATCAACCCTGGGAGAAAAAAAAAAACCCAAATTTGTGGTCTTAAATGAGGCAGTTCCCATAAGGATCCTTAAATGTGAGATTTTTGTAATTCCCAAATTGGGTTTAAAGAGTTCAAATTCTATTTTATTTTAGTAAGCCACATAAGGTTAAGGGCCAACCACAAGGTAAACACTGACTTTGTAGAGCCCGAATTTAAATAGATCTACAACCTAGATGGCCGAACTTACACGCATGGATGGATAAACATGCCAGCTAATATGCTTACCTTATTATTTATATGTTATGATATAGTAAAATTGCCTTGAAAAGTAACTAAGGATATTATTAGATATCAAATGTAATATTACTTTGAAAAGCAATTAATTACAATATTAAGTATTAACTCAATTTTTATGAATCAATATATTTTTAATGCAAACATTTTAATTCATTATCATAAAAAATTTCGTATTTATAAAATGTAAAAATTATATAATTTTTACGTTATAAAAAAGTCACTTAGCATATTAAAATAAATTAAAACAATTTTTCTATTTTGCTTACATAGTTAAATATTGTTATAAATAAAAAAATTAAGTTATATACTTAATAAAACTGAATATGACAAGTTCCTTTTATTTTAGATTAAAAAATTAAAAAAATTATTTTATTTTACTTAAAAAAACTTTTCGGTCAAAAGTTTTATATAAAATATTTTGGTATTAAGTTATGCTATGTTGCACCGAAACTGACACGGAACACGTGACATGACACGACACGACACGCCGATACGTTAATTTTAAAAATGTCATATTTTTGACATGTTGAGAAACATTTTGGTATTAAATAATATTTTTATCGATATAATATAATTTATATTTAATACATATAACAGCCCATAATAAATCATACAACCAATCAAATATTCAAATTTTATAACATAAATATAAACAAAAATAATTTTTCGTACCTCGTTAATTCTTCATGTCAAATTTCATAACAGAACAAAATTTATGTTTAGTTAATAAAATAAAATTTAGTTCTAAAAAAAAAACGTGTTGTAGCGTTGACCACGTGTTGGAAAAAGTTGATTGCATGTCGAAAAAGCGTGTCGAAACGTGTCGAAGGATTGATGATGTATCCTAAAATATTAACTGCATGTCGAAACATATCAGTGTCTGACACGCATTTTTTTAAAATAATCATGTGTCCGTACATAGCAGAAGCTATGTTCCTAGAAAAATAATAAGTTAATTTAAATGCTAACAAATATTTATAAATATAATAAATTAAAATATATATATATATATATATATATATATATATATATATATATTTAAGGGAAAACATTTTCTCCTTTTAAAGGTGAAAATTTTTCTTCTACTAAAGACTCATAATATAAGTGGGACATACAAAATAGTAGAATGAGAAAAAAATTCAAGGTGAGACCCACTTATGCTATAAGCCTATGAGTCACTAGTAGAAGAAAAATTTTCTCTTTAAAAGGAGAAAATATTTTTCCATAATTTAAACTTATAAGAAGTAAATGTAATAATAAGTGAGTGCATTCTTAAAAAGAATTCACAATTCAAATAACGAAAAGACAATTTTTAAGATTGCTGTTCTTTGACGAATCTTTTGGAGTTGCAAAAATAGCTGTAAATGCAATTCTAAAATTAAGTAATTTTTTTGTTACTTGATCATTAAAAAATAAAATAAAAAATTATTAAGGTTGAGATCCGATCAACAGGTTATCTTTGATTTTTCTTAGAATCATCAAAACAGCAATAAAGACCTGTACTAGCTCCAACCTCCTTCTACCTATAGGCGTGGTTAACATATTTCCACATATTGATTGACTTAAATTCTTAAATTGTGATGAAGTATCAAAGGATATATATATATATATATATATATATATATATATATATGGGGATAAGATTCTTTGAATCAGTGTCAAATTTAAAGTTTGATACCTCATCTGAGAGTCCTTAGATCAAAAAAAATTAACGACTCTGAATTGTAAGTATGTGATACCATTGATCTTTTTTAATCTAACGGCTTTCAAATGAGGTGTCAAACTTTAAATTTGACATCGGTATCAAAGAATCCTACCCCATATATATATATATATATATATATATATATATATATATATATATATATATATAGGTAAAATAATTTCTGCAGCCACTTTATGTACAGCAACGACAAGTGTATGGTTATGATTTCTCACATTTAATGCTTTCATCCTTTGTATGGTTATGATTCCCCATATTTAATGTTTTCAAGTATATATATGACAAGTATTTGATTGCTGTACGTACAGCAGCTGCAGAATTGTAAACCCCCATATCAAGGAAGCACAGACACTTGTAAAAACAGGGAGAGTCATATCCGACACGGCGACACGCTCCGACACGGTGTCGGACACGCGGTCAACTTTTTCCGACACGTTGACCATTCCGACAGGCAAATTTGACCGTGTCGGACACGGTCAAATGACATTTTCGTAATTTTTTTTTAAATTTTTTTAAAAAAAATTATTTAAAAAAAAATTAAAATATATTAATAAAGTTTCCACCTGATCATATCAATTTTATTTTTTTATCTTTAAGTAGATAAGAGATCATCTCAGCATCATTGTTGTCAATTCCTATGATGCTCTTGTTGTATCTTCTTGTATCTGATCTCTCTCTCTAATATGATTTGATCTCTCTATCTGATATTATATCTCTCTCTCATCCCAGTTCTTATTTTTTTTATTAAAGCTTCCATCTTTATAACGTGTTGATGGGTATTATTAATTTAGTTTCATTTTTTTTGTTAAATTATTAAATATTAAATGAAATATACACTATATAAATTAAAAATATTATTTAATATTAAAACGTGTCCCAACGTGTCGAAATCCATAATTTTTTAGGATTGACGTGTCGGAGTGTCGTGTCGTGTCACATGTCGCGTGTCGTATCGGTGTTAAATTTGACGTTGATTCCCCCCCCCCCCCCCACACACACACACACATATATATATATATGAGATATGATCATTTGACATCAGTGTTAAATTTCAAATGACTCTGATTTGTAAGCATGTGACACTATTGATCTTTTTTTATCTAACAGCTATCAGATAAGGTGTCAAATTTGAAATCTAACACTGTATCAAAGGATCCTACCTAAATATATATATATATATATATATATATATCAGAGTAGGTATTCTAAACGTGGGAATTTCTGCGTTGTCCAAATGTAAGTATAACGTTAATGTAAATTATTCTTTGTTGTCGTGATGTTTATTGGATAGAGTTGCAAAGAGATACCAAATAAAAAAAATGGATAGAAAAGAATGAGAAATGCAAACTGTACTCAATCACGTCGGTTTTGTTAGTTTAATAAATTTTAAATTTTGCACTCGATCGTTTCCAATACTCTGGAACCGCAATGCAAAAAGACAATGCAAGATGGCCTAACCAAAAACTGATTAGCCGTGGATCAAAGTTAACAACTGGTAGAACCAGTTTGATGAATAATATGAACAAAGTTAAAACTCTAGAAACTTTATTTACGAAAAAATGCTTAGTAGTTAGTACACATGGTGTAATAATACTAGAAAAGCTTGCTAGCAAACTCTTCACAACCATTCTCTTCATCTAATGCAGCAGCAAATTCCCTGAGTTCTGAGATACTCCTACCTAGCTGTAGTGCGACTTTGATTTCAAACAATTCCCCATTTTCTCTTTTATTAGGATCTTGTTCGTTTATATTTAGCTCTATACTCTCTTCCATGAGCTTAAAGAAGCCAGTGGTTGCTCTATACAACTCAAACACCATCCCTACTTGCCCACCATGCTCTAATGTGTTAACAACACCTGCCAAAGCTCCTCCAATAACCCCAAGCATCACAGGCCAAGATGCATTCACAGAACCCAAAGCTGCAAGGCCAGTGAGTAATGGACCAGAAACTGCCAATATCTTATTCAAGTTTAAAACTTTTTTACTCAACCTCAAGTATTCTGCTATGTCCTTCTTCTTCAAAACCATCACAATCTCTTTCATTTCCTCTTCCAACTTTGCATCCCATCCATTATTCCCTTCCAATTTCCCACCAAACCTTTCTTGTTTTTGATATCTTTGCTTCTGTGGAGGCCACCACACTGCTGGTTCCACAGTTTGAGGGAACTTTTCTAGCATTGAGCCCAATAAAGGAAGTGGGTAAGCCCTGTCCAATGCCAAAAGTTTCTCCATTGCTTCAGTAACATCACTTTCAGTAGGATCCCCAAAAGAAAGCCTTGTTCTGAGTTCTCCATGAAGCTGCTTGAATAATCTAGCTGCATTTCTTTGTTCCTCTGCAAGCTGGGATGGCTGAATTTTGTTCATGATCATAAGAAAACCAGTGGCAGCGATGTAAAGAATTGTAGAGGACACCTTCAGTGCCAGAAGAGGTGCTCCACTCGAACTAACAGCCGCAAGGCCAGCCATGGTTGCAGCAGAGAAAGTGATCATATTAACAGATGTCAGTAGAAGGTGGTTCCAATCGTCACGCTGTACTCCAATATTCTTGTGCATCTCCACTCTATCTGCTACAATCTCCATAATCAAATGGAGCTTAACAACCATCATGGAATTTGGTGTACTTCTGCTAGGTGCTGTGGAATTGTTAGTGTTGACACCAGAGTAGTAAGGATCTTCTTTTACATGAGCTGTGTTGGTAACTGAAGAATAATTATTTAGATAATCCAATTTTGCCACCAAACTTCTCCTGGGAAGCCTTGGAGTGGAGATTTTGATCACCTGGATCTTCGATACATTGTTTGTGGCAGGAATTCTTCTTGTACTGCTGCGTGAAAAAGAAGAAACTCTGCTTGAAACGAGAAAGGTTCCCATGTGCAAGCAATATTACCACTGGTGTTTCGATATTCAGTTCTCTTGCTGTCGTTATATGTAGGCCTTAAATAATGGCAAGGGTGTATGGGATTGAAGACTAGTTTGGGATTGAATTGCCACTTTCTCTTATAGCAAATGCACACACACACATATATATATATATATATATATAAAAGCAGATGAATGAGATTGAATATGTTCCGGGCTTTGAAATCTATGTCTGTCTTTCTCTCTGTCTACTTCTACTCCGAGTTTTCCCTCCTTTGCTGACTTTCAACAGAACTAACGAGTAAACCTGTATACCAACTAAAAAACTTATTAAATAAAATAAAGGGAGGAGTTTGTATCATTTTAAAGAATGTAAAGTTGTGTCATTTTAAGTGAGAGAAAGAGATAGATAAAGAAGAAGAGAGAGTGGAAAAAAAAAAATATAAAAATGTGGATCCCACCTCCTTGTGAGAGTGAAATGATATAAGTTGTGCCATTTAGAAGAACAAACATTTTTTCCTAAAATAAATCACTCTCAGAAAAGAAAGAGTATAATGACCTTGCAAAAAAATAAAAAAAATAAAAACTCTACTTGAATACTTTAACTAGCTTTTTTGACAACCAACAACCATAATACTATAATAATATCTGCAATAATAAAACGTACATATATGTCCACAATAAACCATGTCACATGGCTATGTTTAATATTTTAGGGCATGGCCATGCATTTAATTAATTAAAATATTTTGACAGAGTTTACTAACATATAATTCAAAGTTCTTTTTTTTTTCACAATTTATTGTGTTCATTCACGTGCGTTGAGTAAAATGTTTTCCACGGTTCATGTCTAGGGGGCCGCGGTTGTCCACGGTATACGATATCTTTGAAATTGATGGATATATATCTTAAAATGGTCAGAGGTTTCTATTTCTGACTAGTTCCCTCTTATAATCCTTCGCATTATCATTTTCGAAAACTCTGTAAATAGAGCCAAAGACTCATCTCATGTTCACACATCCATCACTTTTTCCCAAGTTGAATATTAGGCTTCATTTTTCTTATTAAGTGTTTGATTATTTATAATTGTCATAATTCAATATATTTCCAATATAAAAATATATATTTACACTAGTAATATGAAAAAAATATTTTAGGAATAAAATCATCGAAAAAATTGTATAGTATGACTTACAATAAAATTTTGGTTGTTATAATGAAATTCATATATCTAAATAAATTGAATTGGAATTCGTAACAACTAAATTTCGATGATGATGAAAGCAAAAGCATGACTCTTGTGCGAATGCTGAAATCAGAAACCTAACCCGAAGAGTTGTTTCACATGACTTCAAACAGAGCACGTTCCACGTATTCCTCTTATGTCTCAACAACACAAGTTTTGTGTCGTTGAGACTTTCGTGCGATGCTGCACTCCCTTCGTAACCTATTTCATTTAAAAGTATTAAGTGTTCTTAGGTTCACTCGTAAAGTCTGAGCTTGAGTGTGCAACCAATGATAAGGTTGTATATTAGTTTAATGATTCTGATATAAAGTATCAGTGTCTTTGTAAGAGATAAGTTTCAGTGTTTAAGGAGGTGAGTTTCGTAAAAATAAAAGGTGAGGAAAAAGGCCGAGAAGCGAGTGTTTTGAATATCAAATGTTCAACCTTTTACATAATGAGTGGTGAGTCCGGATAATGAGACATATCAAGATTGGAAGTGTCGTTTTTAGTACTCTGGGATCTTCAGTTTAGGTGATGAAAGTTGGAGTTACTATTTTATTTTCTATTAATATATATTTACAAACTTTTTTTGTTTATAAACTCTTGCAAACTATATTAAATATGACCGGTCATACTTTAATAGAAAGTGTATACTTAATGTAATATGTAAAAAAAAAAAAATTATAAACAAATCTTTCTCCGTTCGTGAAATATAGAGTTACGTGAGACCTCGGGCCAGTCTTTAATAATACAATATTCTCTTTTAATTTGCATATTTTCCTAACTTTGTTGTTTTGTTTATGAAACCCACATATTATAAATTGCAAAATGTAGAGAAATTATAACCTTCAGAATTTTTATCATAGCGCATCAATTATAACCATTGTTTTTGTGGATCGATGTTTATAGTAGTAATTGCATGAGATGGTGGAGGAAGAAAAAGCACTTCCTCTAGGATGATGCAATAATTCTCCAAAAATGTATTCACCCAATGGCAAAGTTGTCATGAACAACGAACCGTGTGCTCCTAAATTACTGTCTTGTTTCCAATATCCATTGACGTTTGCATACGAGGATAAAGTTAACGAACTTCCAAATTCCCAGCACCACCATTTAATCATGCCTACATAAAACAGAAAAGAGCCTGCCACAATATTCCCATTCCTTTAAACTGATGCATACTACCCTGGGAGGAGTAATAGACTCATAGCAAGCAGGAGCATCTACTTGGAAGACTGTAAACTTAAATCTTATTTAGTCAATGCCATAGATCGTGCTCGAAGGTTCAAAAATATTCCCCTGAAATAAAATATACATGCTGAATTATCTCAATTTTGTTTCTGTTCACCAAAAAGAATGATGATTAAGAAGTAAAGGAAAGTAGAGAAAAAAAGGAAAACAACAAAATAAGTACCAGCAAAATGCTACTAAGCTGTGGAAAACAACACGGAAATGAAGAGGCATGAATTTGTGATTTATCCACCCCACAACAGGCCAAAACTGCAGTTCAATTCATTGGGGGTTCAAAAGTTTTGAAACAAACAGTAAATTTTGTTATTCTCTACAATTGTAATAGAAGATTACCGTCCATGCTGTGTACTGTATTGATGGGTAATCCTTCTTAACTTTAGCTTTCACATGCACCCAAGGTCGACCTGCAGTCCACTTTTTTATCATAAACATGACTACCAGCCAGGCATGCCATTTTACACGTTACTTTTAGGATAATAATAATTTCAGATTTTTTTTATATAAATAAATAGTTGACCCGGAATGTCATTGGTGTTTGGTAATCTATTTTTGACACTGAAGAATTATTTTATTTGTCCACTCTTTCCACCTATATCTGACTACATCTCTATCCATGTTCCTTCAATGTAAATAAAGAAGTTAGATGTTGAAAACATGACTAACCTTCAACAACTAATCCGTAGTAAATCATGAAAAGCAAATTGTTCCAAGGAGAAGATGTCAACTGTTCAATCAGAACCTGAAATTAAAAAAAATTAAAAAAAGCAAAGAAAGAAGAAATATCAAAAATAAAAAGACTTCATTTAATTATAAATAAATTCTTGTTTGAAATATGTTGGGGATGATATTAGTTTAGGAATTCAATTCATTTAGATAGTATTTGAGTGTAATATTACATGATTTGTAAATCCTGCCACTTTTGATAGGATAAGTAAATCATTTCGTTTGCAAATTCTGGAGTCAAAGGGTTCGAAACACTGCATAAGTTAACTGATTGTTCATGCTGTAATTACTGTTAAGAAAAGAAGAATGATGACATAAGTGCTAGCCATAATGCCTGAATTCAGGTTTTGCAGTTTCACCTTCTTGGCCACAGTTTTTGAATCTTTCTTTCCTTTGAAAATTTTATCCAGTATAATATGAAAGAAGTGTCCAAAGGGTCCAAGATAAGCCGCTCCAAAAATCTGCACACAATAAACGATTTATATGATTCCTGATGCACACATATAACAACCAAAAGCACAAGCCATTCAAACGATGGTAGTTAAAATATGAAGGTTTAAGCATTTCTATCTATTTATGCATGGCATAGCTCATCAAAACAATGAATTAATGAGCAGCAACATGGTATTTTTTTATTTTTGGGGTGAAAAAAAAAAAATCATTTCAGCAATTTTACCAACAGCTTTTAATCACATAGGACCAATTTTCTATCACACCCAAGTCCATCATCCTCAATAGTCAAAAGGTTACTATACTACTTAGCACTTGGGTAGGACAAGAGTAAAACTAGAAAAAGAAAAGAAGCTCACCACTTTGAGAAGAAGTCGTTTGAATTGAATTTTCTGTATCCCAGTAAGCTTCTGAGACACAGTGTCACTGATCCCCGACAACACCCCTGCAGTGATTATCTGGTTTAACAGTGAAGCAAAAGAAGGGGTGAAAAAAAAAAAAATACACTAGATTAGCCACAATGAATGGGGAAAAGTTGATGAAATGAATCAATCCAGATAAACCCACAACCAATCTATTACCACCATTAAAGTAGCTATTTTAGGACTAACAAAAACAAAGGGTCAAAGAAAATGGATGCAAAAAAAGCAGCAAGGAAAAGCAAGTCATGTAAAGGGAAATAAAAGAAGAAGAGAGACCTTGGTTCTCAAAGGATGTTGCTGGAGCTGTTTCAAGTAATTGTTCAGTCCCTTCTTAACTAAAGATCCCATCTTGCTTCCTCTGACTGGAAACGGGTAACTGGGTCTGTGACTAATGTTTAAGAAAATGATTGTTTATTATCGTTGCGGTTTCAAAATATCTTCCCAAAATGGAAGGACAGGACATTATCCGCTATTGGATTTTGCTTTCATTTTCTCTCTCTTTTCTTTATTTTGCTTTGGCCATATTTCTCTGTTTTTGTTCGTTTTGGGTTGTTTACAAGGAGAATAATGGAGCTCTCTGTTAAAAAATTTCTCTTTATAAATATTCATGTACTTTACTTAATTAAAATCTTATAAAGAGAGTTAGAAACAAAATTTCATATCACAAACATGAAATTTTAATTACTGGCTTATAATTGTTGGAATTTTGTTGTGTTAGAAATTGAAACTGAAATTGCAGCTCAAACTCAAATGGACCACATTCACTTGTGTGGTAGAAACTTGCGTTTGGATTTGGTAAATATAGAGATTGACAATTCATCCCTGATCCATTTAAAAAGGGTGAGCCCAAGCCCAAAGAACGCAAGACATGTAACTTCAGATACCCTTAGCATGCTAACCCAAAAAAACAAAAAACAAAATACCTTGAGCATGTTGACCTAAATAAATAAATATCATTATTAATCCTTAGCATCCTCACATTTAATTTGGCTGAGATTCTCGCATAATCTAGAGAGTTGTTTGGTGCGATGCATTTGCCTCCTGAAATTCCGGATGGTCCATGTTTGACTTGTGAGTATGAGATACAAAGAGATTCTTGTGCAATTATTTGAGTACTAAATCAATTTTAATTGATATATTATTATTTTTTAGAGGATCCTGCATGTGTCATTTAATATGATTCGGTAATATAAAATGGTCTCTGATTCTCTGTTGTTTACTTAAAAATAAATAGTAATGAGAGATGAGACAAAATAAATGTTAGAAAAGAAAATGAGTAAAATTGCTTCAAATGATTTGGTCATTTTAAATAATACATGAAATGATTTATTCTGTAATTTTTTAGAGTTTAATTAATATATAATATTAGTGTACGTAAAAGAGTGTTACACTAACATTTATTAATATTTTGACTCATTATTATTTACTATCACATTATTATCTATTTAAATAAAATAAATATTAATTATTAATATGTTAATATTAGTGGGTGTTAGTACATAACTTCATTTCACTTACAAGTTACAAATAATTTATTAAGCAAATGCTATGATTAATATTTTATTAATAATATATCAGTATTTAAAATATATATATCCTTAGCATCTTCACATTTAATTTTGCCGAGATTCTTGCATATTCTTAGGAGGTATTTGGTGTAATGCATTTGGCTCTTAAAATTCCAGATGGTCGATGTTTGAAGATTCTTATCTATATTTAGTTTAGTTAACTTAGTTGCACTTAATCAATAAAGTATTAAGGTATCATTGACTTTTATCAAACAAAAATGTAATGTTTACTAGTACATTAGTGTTTCTTTCGTCCTAAAATAAAATACCAAACTCTACCTATACAGTGTGACAGGAGGGAATATAATACAAGCAATAAAACTAAATTACAAACCCAAGAGTAATTGGTTTGGCAACGTCTGAGCTAGATTTTAAAATTTGACCTGTTCAAAAAGGGGTAATAGATTTGATTTGTGAGAGTCACAATTTCTAGTGGAACCTATTAGAACTTTGGACAAAAGTTGATATTAAAAAAAAAAATTACAAATAAAAGGATTGAAAAAACAATGACGGAAAAAACACAAAATGATCCATATGATATGGGTTATATACTTGTATCTATAGCTCATTCCATTCTTGAATAAATACCCCAACTAGGAATAGTTGGTAGCTTTACTACGTCCGTGGCCTGTTGAACGTTGAAAAGGGCCAAGGCAAGGGTATGAAATTTATTTATGTCAATATGGAGAGTCAAGTCTTCTCTTACGGTTACGGTTCGGTTTCCTCTTTAATACTAAGCTCAAAGTTCTGAAGGTCTAAAAAATCCTAAAATCGTAATTTTTTTCCTTCCCTTATAAATACATTAGTTGTGGAATGAAGATAGGTTAGAAAAAGAGAGAAAAAGGTTGGCTTGTGAGAATTTTGAAGGTTTTGAGTGAAAAGTTCAATGTTTTAATTTTGAGAGCACCTCTAGGGAAAATCTTGAATGTTAGACCTCCTTAGAAAAGTTTGAGAGAAAACCACTATTTTAGGTGAGGTTTGAGTGTACTACCATTGTTGGTGAAGTTTGATCTTTTGTAACCCATTATTTCATAGTAGAAGTTGATTTTGGACTAGTGTTCCATGAGTTTTTACTTCTTCATATTGGAGAAGATTTTGTCATGTTAAAATATGCCTGTGTGCTTCTTTGTCTCTCTCTCCTCTGTGTTTTTCGTTTTACGCTGCGTTGGTCGACCTGAAAATACAGATCAACCTTTGATTGAAGAGTTGAGCTCCTAACTTGACATTTGACTTCCGTAAAGGCTTCTAAGCCGAGTTGAGGGAACCGAGTTCCCAACACTTTATATATCATAATTCTCATCTGCAATTCAAACAGCTTCAGTTGTCATAAACACAGTAACATTCACAGCTAAGAGAACTTGCCTCAAAACCTGCTTCCTATCGTATGGACGAAAATGCAATATAGATGAATTCGCCTAGACCTGTCAAAATAGGCCAGAGCCATCAGAGCAGCCCTTCAACCCCAATTTTCAGCCTCATTTTTTTTCAACCCACATTTGGTAGGGTTATTTTTGACTATAGCCCTAACAACCCTCATCTCTTTTGTGCTACTAATGAAGTATTGATGAACTTGGTAGGTAATCACAAAGGTGGACTCTCATTTGGCAAAGCGCTTGCCTCGGGTTGTTGTTTAGTGAACAATTCAAAGGTGGATACCAGACACTTATCTACTACCGGAGCTTCTTGAAGAATATAAATATAAGTTATTATGTTATTGCTACTTGTTTATCTTGTTTGTAAGATTAAAGTGATGGTCTATTTTGATTTTACCCCGTACTGCGGCACATAGTTCCTACTTTTAGGGTTTATTATTGTCATATAAATTTCGATTTGTCTCTTAGCAATTTAATGGTATTTTCTGCATCTATAAAATGTTTGTGGCGTGCATACCATTTGAGCAAAGTAGATAGTTTATATTACCTATTAAGCAATTCTGGAAATAATCAGAGTGGAATATATAAATTACATTATGTTATAGAGTATATATTAGATGCACCACACACAGTGATGTTAATTTACAGTAGCTATAATCTGAAAAAAAAAATAAAAAAAATTGGCCTGCAGGCTTACCCTAACTCGTGAGATTATATAACTTTTTAGCTCGTGCAGACTATTTAATATACAGGTTTTTTTGGCTCTAGCCTGCGCGGGCTAGGGCCTAACGAGCTAGCACCTGTAGTAGTTCACTTTTCGTTTTATGATAATGCTTATATGTCAGCTTTATTCTTCAAGGTAGAAAAAAATGTTCCTTTTGGATAATTTTCTTCTTCTTCAAAAGATACTTTTTTTTCAAAAAAAAAAGTAATGATCAGAAAAAGTTTATTTAGATGCCTGCTTTTAAAAAAAACAGAAATCATAAAAAATTCAAAAATCTATTTTTTTTAAGTTAAAATTTTTTTCTTCTAAAAAAACCAGAAGTCAAAAGCTAAATATTTTTTAAAAAATCTAAATAGTTTTAGCTTTTGTAAACAAAAAACTTCTAAAATAAGCAAGGCATAAAAATCACCTTTGGAAGCTCATCTGTTATATCCTGAAGACAGAGATGTTTAACCTAATAGGCTAGTAAGTTTCTTTTGAATCTATATGCTCTCTAAGGTACCTATGAGTTAGATACCTTTAAGTTCAGCATATCATTGTGCACAAAGGAATAAAAGGCAGCTTTCGCCAATTAGGCGATGTGTGTGCACAGTGACAACATAACGGTAATAGAGAGAATAGCCATACATATAGGTTTTATTTCTTATTTATAGATTTATCTATAGATATTAGGATTCTAGACTTTCTGTGTCTTTTCTAGCAACTCAAACCTATGTTTAACACTGTCATATTAAGATTAATATCTTTCATAGATATCCTCCTTTGATTATATCATATTTGTAATTTTGGATGACCCTTATTGTGCCTTATATTAAATGGGCCTCACATATAACTTCATAACACTATCCAAACGAGCTTCTGTCTCCCTCTTCCTGTGGGTACTTCAAGCTTTCATCCTAAAACAGCTTAAGCTATGCTCACAGAAATCAGAAGGAAGAAAAAGATAAAAAAAAAAAAAGGTGGCTGCCATATTTACAAAAAGTTACGGCCTGTCATCTAAAGTAAATAAAAAACAAATTGTGGAAAACATCTTCAAGTTTTGTTCTTGATTTTTCGTTTTTAATTTGCATTATTCTGTCTTTCTTAAAAAACGATCCATGAAAACAATTATGGATTTATTCTTTTATTTTTATAAATAAAAAATTGTTTTCAAAAATCGTTATCAAACATGGGCACATGCCTATAGAAAGATAAAAAATATGAATTTTTATGAATGTTAATGTGAATATAATCCTTCCTTTGAAAATACACAAAATTACTGAAAGCAAAATCCATAAATTGTACTATTTCAACCCAAAATTTTAAGGTGTTGGGTAAGAGTCTTTTTAATAGTTTATATTGTTCTCTAACATGTCCCCTCATGTAATAGTCTTTTGGGCTTGAAGCGTAGATATTGCATAGCACAATTTTTTTTTTTAGTTTACTTTATGCTTATTTAATTTCACTGAAGCTGATACCATATAAAGAATCATTTCAACTCAAAATCTTAAGATGTTAGATGAAGGTCTTTCTAATGATTTATAATATTCTCTAACACAAAAAATAAGTCATAAAGTATATCTATTTGAATTTCTATCAATTCATTTTTCCACTTTAAACACTGCGTACCCTAAAAATGAAAGGAGAAAGATCCATTTATAAATTTTTTTTTACAAACTTACTAAGTGCATGTTTGGGTCTTCTTATTTTTAAGCTAGAAGCTACTTATAAGCTAAAGCTAAAAATAAGAGCTTAAAAAAAGAAGCTAAAAGCTGTTTGAAAATTACATAAAAAGTTTAGCTTAAAAATTACTTAAAAGCACATATTCCAAAAAAATTATCTCTCTCTATCTTTATCACTCTTCATTTAAAAAAAAAGCACACAATTCAAGAAAAACAGATAAGAGCTTAAAAAAAAGCTCCTCATAGGAGCTTTTAGAGCCTGTTTGGATCCTCTTATTTTTAAGCTAGAAGCTACTTATAAGCTAAAGCTAAAAAAAAGAGCTTAAAAAAAAGAAGCTAAAAGCTGTTTGGAAATTACATAAAAGTTTTAGCTTAAAAATTACTTAAAAGCACATATTTCAAGAAAATTATCTCTCTTTATCTTTATCACTCTTCATTTAAAAAAAAAACACATAATTCAAGAAAAACAGATAAGAGCTTAAAAAAAAGCTCCTTCTAGGAGCTTTTAGCTAGCTTCTTTATTCATTATAAAAAAAAAAGAGCTTTTCATTATAAGAGTTTTTTCCAAAACCTGTTTGGCCTAACTTATACTTATAAGTAGCTTCTAGCTTAAAAAAGAGAGGATCCAAACAGGCACTTAGTTTTTAGTTTTTTTCTTCATTATAAAAAAAGGGCTTTTCCCAAAACCTGTTTGGCATAGCTTATGCTTATAAGTAGCTTCTAGCTTAAAAAAGAGAGGATCCAAATAGGCACTAACTATACTATGTCTGACCGGTAATACTCTACTCAATAGTATATTAGAGGTCAAACATAATATGCATTAAGGGTTTGTAAACAAAAAATTTATAAATATGAGATTCTCTAAAAAGAAATATGCATTGCGCTACACAAGCAAATAAATATAAATTAAAATGTTTAAAAAAAAAGTCAAAACTAATTAAATCTAGCCTTGAGTGAATTTATTTTTCAAGCAATAAATAAATATTTTACAAGTATGCATACATGAAATGTAAAAATGATTTTTGCGAAACATCATCGTCTTCATTAGTACTTATAGTCATTTTTCAATTCGATTTTGCTACAAATTTTTGATACAGCAACGTCAGAGTTGTCGACTTGGCTTCTTTTTTTTTTTTACCCGGCACATTACTCTTGACTTTTATTATTCATCAATCCCCGAAGCACACAATTACGGGATAGTGCCTAGAAAAATTCTTACACGTACATAATTTAATTGGGTCTATCATAAATAAAAAATATTACACACAAAATGATGACTTACTAACATGAAAAAATAAGGAAAAAGTTCACCAATGCTCATGTGATTTGCTTCAAAATCATCTATGTTCCTGTGATTTTTTATTTTTTACAAAGCACAGAAATATATGTGATAAAAAAATCACAGAGACGTAAGTGATTCTAAAGCAAACGTGACAAATAGTTTTCCGTCGTTGAAATTGAATTTGAAATTAAACTTTATCGGAATAAGTGCTCGATTTTATTATTAGTAAATAATCGATTCAATTAAGTAAAAAAAAAAATTGATAAGTCGATAACTTAAAATATTAAGCCAGTAGAGATAGCTAGTGGTAAGATAGGGTGGATAGTAGGTAGTAGATAATATGTTCGATTCTGAATATATTAAAAAATATTAAATTAAAGTTTTTTTTAATAATTTTATATTTTTTTAACATATTTCTTCGTATAAGTACCCAATTTGAAAAATAAATAATGTATAAACTCATATACCTATATTACGAAATTCTATAATATTTAACTATTTATTAAACGAAAACTTTTTTTATGATTTTATATTTTTGTAACACCAAGCAAATCAACTCTTAACAACAGCATAAATATTGACTTAAAAACATTAATTTTTTAATTCAGTGCCTCTAAATTCAAAACTAGCCCTTAAATTAATTTTTGCTGATAAAGTCCACACAAGAACTATTTTCTAACGAAAGTTCAATTTTCAAAATTAAATGCGTAATTCGTATGTCCAATGACACTTTCAAATTAAAGACATTATCTAACAGTGCGATATAGTCATAGCCAATGTATTGAAGAAGTAAAAATTGCTAACTGAAACAAAAAGCGCTAGTAGAGGAGTTGCATGCAAATACGCTGACAGAATGGAATTGATGGTTTCATTATTATTTTTTATTGGTTCTATCTCTTTTAATGAAATTAAAATATATTATTTTGTAATTTCATGATCCTGTTTTATCATATTTTTAAAATATAACAAGCATAAAATAGAACTATATATTATATTTTGTCCAGTGCTGCTTATTTACCGAAAAAAAAAAAAAAAAAACATTGCTGCCTTGTGGTTTTACTAGTCGCATGTTGAGACTTGAGACCCAAACCAAGCCACAAGGCTGGGAATTTTGAACAGAGACCATGTCAATGAAACTGGTCAATCATGGATTTTTATTTGGTTCTGACTCCTTCCTCTTCCTTTTGGTTCGTTAGTATAAAAACTAACCCTCACCTTATACTCATCAAAACATTCAAAAACTTTACCCAACGCCACTGTCCCAAACACAAAGCAAATTAACCCCATATACAGAAAAAGCTTCAATTAACCCACATCATGATTTCTATACAAACCTCATCAGCACTACTTTCTTGTTCTTCCTCGTATTCAAAGAGAGTAAATGCCGCAATCCATGTCCCAAAACTCCCAAGATTCGATTTTTCAGCGCCAAAGATACGTACAAGAAAGCTTGTTGAGGAAGTAAAACTCAAAGACACAACCCCATTATTAAACGATGATGTACAGCATTCTACTATTTCTAATGCCGCTGTTCAACTCTATGCAATCTTGGAGGCTGTAGGTGACAGGGTTGAAATGCACAACAACATGGGAGAGCAACGTGACAACTGGAACACCCTTCTTTTGAACTCCATCAACATGATTACTCTCACTGCTACAACCATGGTTGGTGTTGCAGCCGCAAGTGGTGTTGGTGCAGCACCACTTTTGGCTCTGAAACTATCCTCTGCGCTGTTGTTTTCATCTGCCACTGGGATGTTACTTGCCATGAACAAAATCCAACCCTCACAACTCACAGAGGAACAACGCAACGCTACTAGATTGTTCAGGAAACTTCAGAACCAAATCCAAACCACAATTGCTCTTGGAAATCCTACAGAGGAAGATGTCAAGGGTACAATGGAGAAGGTTTTGGCACTTGACAAAGCTTACCCACTTCCTTTGTTGGGAGCTATGCTTGAAAAATTCCCTGCAAAATTTGAGCCTGCTGTTTGGTGGCCTTCCACTCAATTCCAAAGGAAAAACAAACCACAAGAAGGAAAAGCACATAACAAGAGAATGGAAAAAATGAATGGATGGAATGAAGAACTAGAAATGGAACTGAGGGAGGTTATTAAGGTAATAAAGAGAAAAGACATTGAGGACTATGACAGGCTTGGAAACATGGCTTTGAAGATCAACAAGACTTTGGCTATTGCTGGCCCTTTACTCACTGGCATTGCAGCAGCAGGATCTGCATTTGTTGGCAATGGTTCTTGGGTATCATTTGTGCCCCTAATGGCTGGGTCAATGGCTGCAGCAATCAATACTTTTGAGCATGCAGGGCAAGTAGGCATGATATTTGAAATGTACAGAAACTCTGCTGGGTTCTTCCACATGTTAGAGACTTCAATCGAATCAACATTAGAAGATGAAGATTTGGAGAGAAGAGAAAATGGAGAGTTGTTCGAAATGAAGACGGCTTTGCAATTGGGAAGAAGTGTATCTGAGCTGAGAAAACTTGCTTCGAAGTCATCTTCTTATCGTATGGAAGGAGTTGACATAGACGAATTTGCAAGCAAGCTATTCTAATCAAAGAAACATTTTTTTTATTTTTTAATACGTGTTCTTTCATTCTTTGTGTGCAGTTACCTTACCTGATATAGAAACGGAACTTAGTTTTAGACAGACTTCTTTATGAGAACCTGCAGGATCCGCAGTCTTTGGTCTTCTACGATATTTGTTTTGAGAATTTGTAAATGTAAAATTTCTATTTTAAATGTAAACCTTTGACTTTTAATTTTTTTTTTATTTGGAACCCATATCTATATAATAAAATAAAACATTTACTTATGATGATTGAATAATCTCTAGTTAAAAAGCACCTCTCATTTCTTTTTCTTTTAACATTTTCTAATACTCTTAATAACTTCCAAAAATATATTATTATTCACACTTCGTTGAATATATATAGGGGCAGGTTATTCTTATATCAGTATAAGAATAATAAATCTTATATTAAATCTTGATAGTTGATTTTTGTACATCTAACTAATAAGATTTATTACGTCTCTCTCGTTAATTAATTATTTACTCTCAATAAATCTCAATCATTAGATGCACGGAAATCAACGGTTAAGATTTGAAGTAAGACTTATTATTCTTACACCGGTGTAAGTTGATCATATCCCATATATATATATATATATAGGCAAAAGTATTTCTACAGCAACTTTAGATTATATTCTCCTGAGAGAATATAGTTATAACGTTAAAGTTGCTCTCTTTTCTCTCTCCTCATTTACTTTTCAGAACTTTTTTGCTGACGTGGAGAGAGAGAAAAGAGCAACTTTAACGTTATAACTATATTCTCCTGGGAGAATATAGTTAAAAATGGCAGCTGTAGATAAGCTTATATAAAGTTGTTGTAGAAATATTTATCCCATATATATATATATATATATATATGGGTCAGGATCATTTTACACCAGTGTAAGTTACACTTTTAATCTTGTCCGTTGATCACACTTATATATAAAGGCTCTAATTTTTCAGTAATGTGAGCCATTGGATACAAGTGGATCAATGGTCAAGATTGAGTGTAAGACTTCTAACTCTTACACTGGTGTAAGAATATCCCACCCCTATATATATATATATATATGGGCTTAACGTTTCTCAAGCTGCTTGAGATAACGTTATCTCCGGCCACTAAATCATAACTGTACAAAGATGGATTAATGATGGTACAAGAAGAGAGAGAAAAAGGGAATCATAACCATTCAAAGGTGAATCAATTAATATAAGAAAATAAATAAACAAAACGACGTAGTTTTGGAATTGTCGGAGATAAACGTGTCTCATGCTGCCGGAGAAATATTTTTCCCTATATCTATATATATATATATATATATAGGGTCAGGATCCACTACTAGAAATGTATTTATTATCGACGAAATTTTTTGACGAAAAAAATCCGTTGAAATTATTGACGAAATATTCCACGGAATTTGTTTTTCGTCAAAAATTTCGACGGAAAATAGATTCCGTCAAAATCCTAACCATTGATTTTCAGCAATCAAAGGTTATCATTTATTGGAAATTAAACTTATTAATTAATTATTAATTCATAATAAATGATAACCGTTGATTGAGAGAAATCAACACTTGAGATTTAATTTGATGTCAAATTTTAAAGTTTGACAATGGTGTCAAAACATAAATTTCATATATTTATCTGTTATTTTCTATTTCTTATTTTTTTAGTGTTTTCAAAATCCTAATATTTATTTCTTATTTTCTATTAATTTCATGTTTTTATCTGTTTTCAATTTCTTATTTTTTTAGTGGAAGTATTTTTAAATTTTAAACCAGATTAGATATCAGGCCTAAACTAATTAATCAGCAATAAATTTTCATCTATTAAATTAGGGTATACTCTTAGAGAGACATTTAATCTCTCAACTTTTTTTTAAATGACACGTGTAATTCTTAATTTTTCCTTCTTTAAATTATATATTCTTATGATTGAATTTTATCAGCTCGATCTTTGACTCAATCTATATAAATAGAACAAACAGATTAATTAAATTTTCAATGTCAAATTATATTCTTATGATCGATTGAATTTCATCTGATCAACTTTTCACTAAAATGAAAGACATATTGAATATAGAAGTCGTCTTCAAGCATGTATTCTTGATGAAGGTTTTTTTTTTTTTAAATTGTTAATAATGTTTTCAAATGTGTTTTTTTTTTTTGGAGTAAAGATAGCTTATACTATTTAATCAATTTGATTAAAGCCAAGAAGAGTAAGCAACCCTATTCCACCGGTCAATAGCTTTTAAAATGTATGTAACTAAAGTTTATTGAGTTTACATATACATTTTCCAATCAATAAGTCGCTTTGTCAATTACTGAACAAACAAGTTGATATGTCTTCGTTTTACAAATCGGTACAATTTTGCTTTATCAGAATCAGATCGAAAATTAGGAAGATTGAAGATTGAACAAATCAAAGTGGTATGTTTTTTCAAAAAATATTAAAATAATATAATTTGAAATTATTTATCAAAGTAATACTATTTAATTATTCTTATTATTTTTATATATATGACACGTGTCATCATCGTATGACTGACACAAGTTATGTTTTTGGTGTCCACTTAATATATCACTTCGTTCAGTCAACCCCGAAAATTAAGCATGTATATATGCCGTGATTTTATTTTATTTTTTTAAAATATCTATTTAGCTAGAGGTGTTCATTAACCGATTCAAACCGCAGTAACTGAAAAACAAAAACCGAAAAAGAGCCCACAATTTAATTGGTTTGGATCGAATTTCGGTTTGGTTGGTAAAAATCAATTCAACGTATTATGTATTTATTATTTTCGAAAGACGATGACTTGGAATCTTGGATGTTTTTTTTTTTTTTTTTTGATAGAACGAAATCTTGGATGTTATTAATAGCAAACTATCTTATTTTTGTTTTTTTATTGTCTATTAATCTATTTTAACTCTTCATGAGTTTTAAAAACTTATTTTAGTTTGAAGACTTGAATTTTTAAGTGGTTTGTAATTTTGAATGACTTTATTTTTATTTTTTTTATACACATAAATGACTTTATTTTGATATAACTAGCGATTTATATTAATGAAATTTTAAGCATTTCAAAATATCGAAAAAGATTCAATTCAAACCGAATAAAATTATATTAAATTGGATAGGATTTTAAAAGAAATCCAAACCGGATGAATGATTAAATGATCAAACGAAAGAATTGAAGAAGATAATTTTTGTTTCAAAACAGAACCAATCACCACTATGTTTAGCTTAAGCACACCCATGAAGAATATGTCCAATTTTCTTTGTACGTAGAAATTCATAATGAACTGGCAGCGCTTACGTACTCCATATTCTTTTTTTTTTGGTCAACCATGTATTATTCTATATTCAAACTCGACAATATTTACAAGCGATTTAATAGACTAAGTAAAAACCTTTGCGTTAAAGAATGGACATTGTTAAAATTCCTCGAAAGGCATATTGCATCGATGTATGGATATATACAATAATAAGATATACAGATCGTATTTAAAAATTAATGTTACACAATTTAGTGTTTTCTATGTAATTGAAGGGAAAATAAAGAAGGCCTTTTAGAATGTTTAACTTCACATGACTACTACACGTTAGCATGGTAGTGAGACCAAGCCATGTCTATAATATAATGAACAGGAACCGGTCAAGAACACAAGATGACGCAAGTGATGAACATGCAAGGCTAAGTGGACCCATTCAACTGGTTAATTTATTTCTGTATCTAGCACCTTCTGTTCATGTTCTTTATTATAAATACGCGCACACAAGGTACCCAACCTTACATATCTGCCTTCAACAACTGTTCGAAACAAAATCCAAAATCTCGCCTATAATGGCTTCCTTAGCCTCAGCGTTACTTAACCCTTTATCTTCTTCTCCTTCTTCTTCTTTTTATTTAAAGAGAATCAATTGCTCTATGATCAATTGCTCTTTCTCTGTTCCAAAAGCATCTACGAGAAATCTGGTTGAGGAATTGGACAGGTCCAAAGTTAAAGCCAAAGCTCCATTGGAAAAGAATGACAACATCAAAATACTACATGATCATGATGATGATGATCTATTTAATTCTACAGATTCTAAGGCCAATATGCAACTCTATGCAGTCTTAGAGGCTGTAGCTGACAGAATAGAAATGCATAACAACGTTGCAGAGCAACGTGACAATTGGAACACCCTCCTTTTAAACTCCATCAATATGATAACACTCACGGCTTCAACTATGGCTGGTGTTGCAAGCACGGGTAGTTGTGTTGGTGCATCACTTTTGGCTATGAAGTTATCTTCTGCTCTTTTATTTTCTTCTGCCACTGGGATGTTGCTTGTGATGAACAAAATCCAACCATCACAACTTGCTGAGGAACAAAGGAACGCTACAAGACTGTTTAAGCAGATTCAGACCCAAATCAAAAGGACAATCGCCATTGGAGATCCCAGTGAAGGTGATGTGAGGGATGCAATGGAGAGGGTTTTGGCGCTTGACAAAGCTTACCCACTTCCCTTGTTGGGAGCAATGCTTGAAAAGTTCCCAGCTAAGTTTGAAGGAGCTAGTTGGTGGCCTAAAAGTAGATTGAACAATGATAAACTGCACGCAAATAAGATGGAGATTAAGAACAATAATGGATGGAATGAGGAGTTGGAAACGGAAATGAGGGAGGTTATTAAAGTGGTAAAGAGAAAAGACATGGAGGATTATGAGAGGTTAGGCAACTTGGTACTGAAGATCAACAAGACTTTAGCTATTTCAGGACCTTTGCTCACTGGAATTGCAGCTGTAGGATCTGTCTTTGCAGGTGATGATCAATCATGTGTAGCTCTTGTTCCTGTCCTTGCTGGGGCATTGGCTACTGTTGTTAATGCCTTTGAGCATGGAGGCCAACTTGGCATGGTGTTTGAAATGTACAGAAACTGTGGTGGATTTTTCAAGATGTTTGAAGAGACAATTGAATCCACAATTGAAGAGAAAGACTTGGAGAAAAGAGAAAATGGGGAGCTCTTTGAAATGAAGATGGCTTTGCAATTGGGAAGAAGCGTGTCGCAGCTAAGAGAACTTGCCTCTAAATCTGCTTCATATCGTATAGAAGGATCACGTGATATAGATGAGTTCGCCAGCAAACTCTTCTAAGATATCGACATTTTTTTATTAATTTCTTGTTTAAACTCTTTAGATACCATTCTTTCATTTTTTTTGTTTAAATGTATATATAGACTAATTAGATGAAGATGTAATTTAATGGTGTAGATATATATGAGATATGGGTACATTATTCACAATTTCGTGCTATAATAACGATGACCATCGGATATTATATAATTGCTTCCACAAAGACCCTATTAAGTATTAAGAAAAAAGTTATAATTGCTGCATTTCCCAAGTTGGTTAAGTTCAGGTTGTGCTTGACATCTCTAATTATGTAAAAATAAAACTGATAAGAAAAAAAAAGGGATTATCCCCCTTAAGCCTTATTGTCTCAAAGTTCGAGTTAAATATCACAAGTATATTTTACCATATATAAAATGAAAAAACACAAGTATATATATTGAGAATGTATTCATATTAGTTTGTTTTGAATTTAAATAATTTAACATTAAAATTTTATTGAAAGAATTAAAAAGAAATTCTCTCAGAATTAGTCAAAACCAAACACATGCTAAGTAATAATGATAAGAGTACCCTATATAATCTGAATAGGAGATAATTTTAGCTATTATAATATAAGAAACATTAAACTAATTTTTTTTTTTTTTTTTGGATTACATAAACTAATCTTTTATACCAGGATATTATATCAACCTTTTGGAAACAAATATAGTCATCAGATTCATAGATATTAAATACGTACCATCGTCATTGACGACGATGTCTATCTACACTAACGTTTAGTAAACATGTATGACTAGCGGTGAAAGTGGGCTGGGTTGGGCCAAGCTCTGCTTTGAAAAGTCTAAACTTATGTAAAAAAAATTCAATTTGGCCTGTTCCAAGCCTAGTACAAGTCTAATTGTAAGCCTAGTTTGGCCCGTTTATAAAAAAACAAATGACCCGACCTAGCCCGTTAGCCTGTTAATTTTTAACTTCCAAGCAGAACCAGGAATCAACTTTACAAAATACTCAAATTCTGTTGCTAAACCAAAAATCATAATTTCAACGTCCAAACAGAATCATGAATCACAACAAAACTCATACAATCTGCATTTAAGTCGCTTTCAAAAGCAAAATGTTCAAACAAAATAACATATATTTCATCAGATCCAACAAACAAATCCATACTATGTAAATTGAAATAACTATATGAATCCAACAAACACATCATGATGCTTATAGTAAGTATATCCTCTCGCAAAAATCTTTTAATATATTCATATACACAATCTAACATGCTGAGATGTTGGTTTCTCCTATGTAAGAAATAAAGTCAGATTCTATTAAAATATAATCGAATATAATTAAGATATAAATAATTGCAATTGATTAAATTTATATATTATGTTCTTTCTTCGAGGCATACTTATTCTATTCTATTTTATTTAAAATAACTAGTACAATATAGGCCGGCCTGTAGCTTGTAGGCTTATAGGCCAGGCCTTGTGAAAGTGGGCCTACGGCCTTTTTATTAAACAAGGTTTTTCAAGGCCTAAGTCCGACCTATTTTACGAAATATATTAGGTCAGATCTGACCTAACGTAGGCCGAGCTGTAGACTCCTGTAAGCCGGTCCGGCCCATTTTCAGTCGTATGGATGAGTTAGCTAATGTTTTGTGGTATATATTCAAGCAAGTGATTTTATAATACAAATTAAAAGGCCTTCATTGCAGGCCACAAAAAAACAAAAAAAGGGGCCTTCATTGCAAGAAATTTGAATAAGCGTTGAACATTGTTTTCCTCTCAACTTGTGAACACGGTCTCCCGTTTTACATTTTTTAGATATGTTTATTTTTGGTGGGTATACCAACGCCTAGCTAACACACCTGGATTTTATATTAATTTTTTAATCAAATATTTATCTTATTCATTTTTTTATAACAGTTAGATATATAATATAAAATCATTAAATGGTCATCACTTAAAAACTTAAATCTTTAAGTGAGACGATTATTTATCAATAACTAGAGCAAATAATGTTTTATTTTTTTCACGTATATTAATAAATTTTATATGTAGCTGTCAAACTGAACCCTACCTTATATTTGACATTTTTTTGTTGTCTATGACATAAAATAAACCTTGGAAAACAAGCAAAGTGGGTTTTATAATACCAACTTACGAACTCCGAAGTAAAAAGTCTTTGATTGCAATGCAAAATCACCACATGGTAATGGAGACTCAGCCCAAGAGAGTATACGAGTATGAGACGACATTGTTTGAACAAATTAAAGAGTGGAACGAAAAATCAAAGTCAACACTCAACAGCCGGTCAACATTTTCCTTATGACCCCTTCTCTTCTTGTTCACACATTAGCTGCTATATATTACAAACCACAGATATAGCTTCCTCCAACAAATCCACAAGTACGAAACCAGTTACAAGCACACACAACTACAACAGAAATCTAAGACTCTTATGGCTTCCTTAAAAGTTACATCTTTGCTTTCTTCTATTTGTTCATCATCATCATCTTCTTCTTCTTCAGAAAGAATAAAATCCTCTATCCATGTCCCAAAACTCCCAAGAGCTATTTTCGTAGCTCCAAAAACAAAACCAAGCAGAAAGCTGTTTGAGGAATTGAATGGCTTCACACACACAACCCCAATATTCCAAGATGATTCATACAATTCCACCAATACGTCAAAAGCTACCACTCAACTATATGCAATTCTAGAAGCCGTAGCTGACAGAGTGGAGATGCATCACAACATCGGCGAGCAACGTGACAATTGGAACACTCTTCTCTTAAACTCCATCAACATGATTACTCTAACTGCAGCCTCCATGGTTGGTATTGCAGCCACAAGTGGCGTTGGCGCGCCACTTTTGGCTCTCAAGTTATCATCCACACTTTTGTTCTCTGCCTCCACAGGAATGTTGATTGTGATGAACAAACTCCAACCCTCACAACTCGCTGAGGAACAACGAAATGCTACGAGATTGTTTAAACAACTACAGTCCCACATCGAAACCACGATAGCCCTTGGGAATCCTACTATAGAAGATGTGAAGGATGCAATGGAGAAGGTTTTGGCAATTGACAAAGCTTATCCACTTCCCTTATTAGGAGCTATGCTTGATAAATTCCCTACAAAATTTGAGCCAGCTGTTTGGTGGCCTTCAAAACCATCTTCAAAGAGAAGAAACAAAAACCAATTAGAAAAGAATGGATGGAATGAAGGACTAGAAACTGAACTAAGGGATGTGATGGAAGTGGTGAAGAGAAAAGACATGGAGGATTATGAGAGATTAGGGAACTTAATGTTGAAGATTAATAAGACTCTGGCTATTGCAGGGCCTTTACTAAGTGGCATTGCAGCAGTGGGATCAGCATTTGTGAGCCAGGGTTCATGGACAGCAATAGTTCCGGTTATGGCTGGTGCATTAGCCACAGCTGTTAATGCCTTTGAACATGGTGGGCAGATAGGGATGGTGTCTGAAATGTACAGAAACTGTGGTGGCTTCTTTCAAATGCTAGATAATTCTGTGCAAGAGACAATGGAGGAAGACGCAGACCAAAGGGAAAATGGGGAGTTGTTTGAAATGAAGTTGGCTTTGAAATTGGGAAGAAGCTTGTCTCAACTGAGAGATCTTGCAAGAAAATCAGCTTATTCTCGTGTAGAGGGAACTGCCACTGATGAATTTGCTAGCAAGCTTTTCTAAGTTTTAATGTAACAATATTCTTTGATTTTGTATTAATTATTATCTAACAATTCTTTGATTTCGTATTAATTATTCTATTTAACATATTAATCTTCTTCTTTTTTTATGTATATGTGTAAATAAATTACTTTTTTTTACTTCAAAAAAAAAAAAATGTGCGTTGACAATATCTTGTCAAATTATTACAGCCTCGTTTGTCATTATCTTTTTTTTTTTTGATAACATGTCATTATCTTTTAACATATCGATAACCGTGTAGACTTTTCAAGTTCCAACTTCCAAATAGAAAATTGCTAATAGTTTGTAGAACTTTGTTGGTAAATCTTACAATTATATTTTAATAATGTTGATTTTTGTCAATCAACGGTTATTTTTTTAAAATTAAATTAATTAATTAATTATTAATTCACAATAAATGATAATCATTGATTGACGAAAATCAACGTTTAAAATATGATTATAAGAGGTTGTAAATAAAAATATGTTGTAAGTATAACCTTCATCAATTAGGGTATATAAAAGAAAATGGTTATATTTACAAATTTTTTATTTGAAAATTCATATAAATTATACTATGTATTTTCGAAAGTACACTAGATTACATTATATATCATATACTTTCAGAAGTACATAGTATAATTTGTAAAAATTTGTAAAAACAGTTTATAAACACATCCTTGCACATATAAAAGATCAAAAACTACTGAATTGAAATATGAACTCAACTAAATCGCATTTCAAAATGATTTAAGAATTTTATGTAAAATCAATTCAAGAATGTTATAAAAAAAAATCAATTCAAGAATTGAATCAATTTATATTAACTAAAATTATTTTATTCAAATTGATTTAAAAATTAAATTAAATTAAACTTTTTTAAACTTCTATCATTTTTTTATTTATCTTAAAATAGTTCAAAATAATTTCAGAACCAAATTTAACTATCGGGCCTAGCCGCGTAAGAGTTTTCATGTGCATTGGTTCATTCTGAGGGTGCAACTTGTTCCACACTTCCGGATCATTGTCCTTCTGAGTAGCCTGTAACCAATATTAAGTTTATATAATCATATAATTAACATATTTCAAACTCTAAAAAATAAAGATATACATGCAGCCATTCTTGTTAATTAGACTAAATGCAAATTCGAATATTTTTCGGAAGATACTGAACAGGGGGACATTTGATATAATATTCACAAATAGAGTGGTTTGGGAAAGCCTTATTGGACACAGATCTTAGCTTTCTGTTTAAGGTACTTTTTGATATTTTATATAAGGATTAATGTTTCTCATGTTATACGAGATAAAAATTATTTCATACACACACATAAAAATATTTTCGTCTCATATAGGGCCATATAAAGAAAAGAGAGAAAAAAAAATAAACCCCACACACTTTTGTATGTGTATAAAAAATAAATTTATCTCCTACGATAACACGAGAAACATTAAACCCTTCACATAATACAGCATTTTGGGCATTTATTGTTAAGTGATACACATTATAATCATAGTGACTTTAAATGATAGGTCTGAAACCATGTAGAATCAAGTGATACAAATTGTAACAGCGAGAGTTCATATATCTCAAAGTCATGCAGTGAATACATGTCTACTTTGAATTTCATAGATGTCATCTTGACTTCGGAGCAGAAGTTGGTGAGAACAGCGTCAGAAAATATCAAGATAACACAGGTTGAACTCAACTATCATACATGTTTGAAACGAAATTGAGTTATTAATGAAAGCCATTCTACTTGTACTTGATGCGAGTAGACAATAGCATTAAAATCCACTACAACGTCCAGATTATGAGAAAACTGGTCGAGGGAGTGTATTGAGAAACGTTCAAGGTGAAACCTCAAAAGTAAATCAGGACGGCTTGTAGTATTTTGTTGGTACAAATGGCATTTTTGTTACAACTCCCTCATTGGCTTTTCCTCGAACAATAATCTTTACCTTGGTTCCTGCCTTGTGCAATCCTGATTTCACATATCCCATGGCTATGTTCTTCTTAAGGCAAGGGCTGAATCCACCACTGGTGACTTCCCCAATGTTGTTACCTCCTTCATCTTGAATCTCACTGTGGCTTCTAGCAGGTGGACCAGAAGAAAAGAAACCAACACGCCTGATCTTAGGACCTTCTTCAAGCTGTTTCAGTATAACCTCAGCTCCTAGAAAACCCCCTTCTGCTCTCCTTCTCTTCCCTATGGCCCATGTCAGTCCTGCCTCAATAGGTGTTATATGTTGTTCCATGTCATTGCCATATAAACACAATCCAGCTTCTAGTCTTAGACTATCTCGAGCACCCAATCCGGTCAATCTTATCTTCCCTTCAGATTTTTCCAGAATTGCCTTGGCAAGATCCACTGCATTCTCTGAAGGAACTGATATCTCAAATCCATCTTCCCCAGTATACCTGAAAGTCTTAGTGAAGAGTGCATTATTATGCATAGTACTATCATTGAGATTAAACATTGTGTCCCTGGGAAACTTGGAATTGGCCAACAACACAAAAAGACAAACTGAAATCATCACATTGCACTCATTTCATCAGTCAGGAAATAACTGTATTTTAGAAGGAAAGGGAAGATTTTTAACATTGATATAGCTAAAGACACCAGATGAAATCTCAAGTTAGCATTACTACAACTCAGACAAACTTTACAGGGTAAATTGCTAAGGTTGAGAAAGAAAACCACAAGAAAACATACCCTGTCCGGGTGAGAAAGCACTGTGCACCATTTATGTCCAACACACGGAACTCCCCAAAGTACAGTTTGCTCAAATCCTCTTTTGTCAGGTGTTGAAGAACCGGAGCAGCAAGAGGACCCTGCTACAGAGAAAATAAGAGTCCTTTATTAATGTTACTGTGAAGAACAGTTGATTAATTTAAAAGCTTTTCAATTTAGCAATCAGTTTTAACTAGCTTGAATCAACTTAACAAGTTAATAGGAGCTAGTTCAAAGTGTGTCATGATGCAAATGCACAAGAGAGTGATAAATGACCTGCAGAGCAAGAAGAGATCTCTCATCATGGATATGCCACGACACATCACCACCTTTGGCCTTGAATGCCTTCATATGCTCCTCAATATGAGCCAGATCTTTATCCCTACACCCAGCATTCACAACCAAGTATATGTGATCATCCTTCACCTTGGTAATTACTGAATCATCAATAGCCCCTCCCTTTTCATTTGTGAAGACAGTCAATGATCCAGTTCCAGGGGAAAGCCCAGCAACATCAGCAATGACTAGCTTTTCAAGGAATGGGACTGAATCCTTCCCCTTGAGGCTTAGCCCGCACATATGAGAAACATCAAAAAGGGAACCATTCTGCCTACAATTCAGAGTTGAGTCCATGATTGAGTCCTTGTATTGGATTGGCATGCTCCATCCAGCAAATGGCACCATCTTCCCTCCATTGGCTACATGGAAGTCATAAAGAACTGTCTTTTTCAGCTCAGCTTCTGTGGCAAAATATCGACGAGCAACAGCCTTCTTATCACCATGGGCAAGACGCCGGGTGATTGATTGCCCAAGTTGCCACAAGTTCCCCCTCATTTCCTCTTATCTGAGGAATAAAAGAAGTTTACATGTTAAGTTATTGCTTAATCTATAGACAGCATAACTTCGAGTTAATTAATACTAGATTATTTCGGGGGACAAAGAAATTCATGTCATTTTTAAAGAATCATGCCATCTCTAGTAGAGTATATATAGTACTCATTTATGTTACTTTCCCTACCCAAAATGAGCCAAATTTCCAGGTCAAAACCGAAACAAAACAAGCTGTTTGATGCCATTTCATTGAGATATTGTCACAGTTCATCGAAACATTGTAGGCGGAAACAAAAAGCAAGGCTAATTGTCACTGGCCAGATTCCTTGAAGGTGACACTAGTGAGAACAATAATTTCAGTTCTTTTCTTAAACCAGAAGTGAGTGCGATACGTGCACTCAAACGATGAAATAAATCCCATGAGAAAACGTACGTCAAATTCCAAACAAAAAAATATCGTTGAAAACCTCTAGCCAACGCATTGCTGAACTCAGAACTTAAATCAAGATACCAATGTAACATGTCAAGTGACATAAGGCATGGAGAATATCACCAACAAAAGTACACAACACCCCACACACCCAGAAACTCCAAAAAAAAAAAAAAAACCGAATCTTTATCAATTGCCCAGATCCAAGTTTCAATTCACAGATTCGCCAGAATCATCACAAACTTAGGCAATCAATAAAAAAGAAGAAGAAAATACAGATCATTATATGTTAAGTGAGAGCAAAAGACGACCCCACATGGGAAAATGCAAATAAGGAAAAGATAAAAGAAGGGTAGAGCAAGAGCACTTACATAGTACTGGGTTTGTTCTTGTGTCTGGAGTTCTTCAGAATGAAGCATCAGCAGATAACACTGCACGGTAGAAGGGTCTGACAGATAACCTTTCTATATATATGTGTATGACATTAAAGGTTTGCTTATCTGTTGAATTTGGACATATTTGAATAAAATAAAATAAAATGAGAAACAAAAATAATAATATGAAAAGAATGGGGGGTTGGTGGCTGTGAGTGTAAGGATGTTGAGAATTGAGATAACCAATCGTTAGTGAGTGGTAGGAACGCTACCCGACGAGTTTACCTTGTCTTGGTCTTCTTTCCCCATCTCTACCTTCTTTTGAAGTTCAAGTGTTTGCTCAATCATGCTATGCTTTCTGTGTACCCCAAGAATCCAATGGCTGATGCAATGGGAACACCACATCACATTGTGATTTTGTCCGAGGTTTCAGTACTATTGAATCCACTTAATCTGGGAGATCACTTATGACTAGGAGAGCTATAAACTTGGATCAAAAGTTAATTTTTTTTTTTTTACTCTCTATTCAAAATACTTATTTTTAATTTGATTTTTATATAAAAAAATTAACTTAATTTCTATATATATAATTAATTTTAACATTATTCAATGTCGCTTTAATATTATAAGGAGAGAAAGAAAATTATTTATTTAGTGTTTCTCTTGTTGCACTAACACAAAACAACGTTCTTTTAGGATTTGAAAAAAATATAAGTACAGAATGTTTTGGGAAAATTTATATCATAAGAGAAAAATAAAATTATCAAACCCAAAAATAATATAATCTTATAAATAAAAGTTAGTCCAAATAATTTTTTACAAAAAAAAAAAAAAAAAAATTATATGGGAGGAATAAGTCAAAAGCCAAAAGTGAGGAGCATTTTTTAATTTGTATCAACTTTTTCTTGAAATATGTGTGTTTTTTTTAAATGAATAATTTTTAAGTTAAAATTTTTATATAATCATCAAATAATTTGTAGTTTTATTTTTAAATTTATTTTTTTTAGTTTTATCTTAAAAAGTAACTTTTAGCTTAAAAAAAGATGACAAAAGGCTCTAAAACAAATTCCCAAAAATTATATATTAAAAAAAGGAGAGAGAGATTTGGTATTCTTTATCAAGATTAATGTTTCTTATATTATAAAAGATAATTTTATCTTTTACATACATATAAAAATATTTGAGACTTATATATTTTTTTTCTCTCTTCCCTTCATATATCCCCATATAAAATTCACATACTTTTATGTATACGTGAAAAATAATTTTATTTACAAGAAAAATTAATCTCTTCTTTAATTGTTGGAATCGGGAGGTGACTTACAAAGAGAATTCTAGCCATCACAAATTTTGGGGTTGGTGGCTCTGAACGAAGTCAAAATTGAAAAATTATAAAAATATTTACAAGCACTAAAACAATCTGGTGCATATTTTCTTACGTTGTAAGATAGTAGGAGAGAAAAAAATAGAGATAAGTTAAATGTGGGTCCCATATTTTAAATTAAAAAAAAAAGAAAAATTAATTGGCACAGAAAACGAATTTGTGTAGGAAAAAATTCTTATCTCATGTAGATGGAGATAATGATTTCCCAACAATCTAATTAAGAAACATTCTTGGTAATATTAAGATTTTATTTTTTTATTTAAAAGGAATGTCTACGAACATTGGGAGGGGGGAACAGTCTGATTGGCGCAAATTTGCCATTTTACGATGTAAAGATAGGTTATGTTACATGGGAGTCGTACGATGAGAGAAAAAAAAATAAAAAAAATTATTAAAAATTTATCATTATTTATGTATAATTTATTAAATAATTATTTTGAAACCTTCTCTCTGTCTACCCACCTCCCAAGTGATAATTTTGGGGTTTAATGCTGTTTGCTTGCTGAATGATGTAAGCATATTCAACAGGTATGAATCTCCAACCCCACTTGATTTTCTTTCTCGTAGTTGCATTCTAATTTTTCCATCATCCATATTTGTTAGAAAATTGATGCAACCATAGGTCCCGTATTTGGATTCGACCAAAACTTGGCCAGTCACATAGATGTAGAAACAGGCCACTGAATATCAAGATTAAAATGGTTGGTTGTTGAATTTTAGAATTATGAAAATAAATTTTATTAATCTCAATTCTTTAGTTTAGTCAATTTTTCTATGTCCTCCTGCATCAATTTTCTTTCCTGCTAATTTTCTGAGCCAAATCATGTATGATGTTTCTGTCTGTCTTTTATTGTTTGATATTTTGAAGGAAATAATTCATGGTTCAACCATGCCAACGGTGTATGCTTCCACAGCTATTGTAAAGTTTCATTTGTATCAAGATTCTGTCTGCTTCTGTGCAACAAGCACATCCATACAAGATCAATAAAACATGTTAATTTCTTGGATTGTAATTTTATCTTTCCTAAACCTTCTGGCAGTCCTTGTAGTAATATTTTCTAAGTTCCTCTGGAAATCCTGTTAAGCAACAAAAGAGCCTTTCATTTATTCCATCCTGTAGCTACACATAAATGGCGGGTAAGCTTGCTATACTTTGAAGGTCCATTACTTGTCTAGATTATTGTACTTTGGTGATTGATATGTTTTGGCATCAGTGTTAATGTATTTGGTCATTACTTTGGGGTTCCAATTATGTGGTCATACCCCACATTAATTTTTCTCTTTATCACTTGTTACTTTTACAAGTTTATTCGTATCCAATATCCATTTATGCAGTATTGGCAAAAACCATTTGACATGTCACTATTCACTGATTGGTCACAAAATCCACCAATCCACATAACCCACCCCACATAAAATCTGGGTTTTAACCGGCTGTGATGGAGCAGAGCATATTGAAATGGTATGTTTGAGTGTACAACAATTACTCGAGTGCCTTATGGTGACAATCCTAGACATATTGTTCTGAAGGTGATGAAGTGTCTATGGTTTCTCGGAGTGAGTGTTGCGCTATTGATAAACCTGTAAGATACTACTTGGTCTCTTCAAGGATGTTAAAGAAAGTTGTATCTAGATATTTGTGAAGTGAATCTATATACAGGGATTTTGATTTTGATGAGACTGTTAAATCAGATGCATATTGTGTGATTAATTTTGGAATTAAGAGGGAATAATTGTCTTCTGTTATTGCTCAATATCTGCAGATTTTTGGGCTCACTCTGAAAACTAAATTGGCATTTCATTCACAAAAGTACTTACGTAATTATTTTTCGAGATTGGACCCCAAGGATATGTACAAATTCAGGAGACAATGCCCCAAACAGTTAGCCTTAACAGCAGGTGACAATGAAAACTGTTGAGTTTGCTTTGGAGAATTCAAGTGTCTTGGGTTAGTAGTTGCAATGTAAGCATGATCAGAAGAATGTTCTTACTTAAGAGTTTGAGTGAGACCTATAAATGAGCTTGGGGGAGTTTCTCTTGATTCTTTATTTGTAGCTTGGACTACAGGATTCTGATGCCAGAGGTTATGAACATAGCTGATTAAATGCTCATTAAATAATTTGCTAAATTGTATTGTGTGTAGGAGGTTGCAGCTGGGCGATAGTATTGAAACTGAAAGTATGTGTCCCTCATTCTGTACGGGTATTGGGTAGAAATTTGGACCTTCTTCCTCCAAAAAAATGTTAAATCATTGAATGCCACCATGTTATGAGTGTGACTGACACATTTTTATAAATCTAGCATTCCAGAAGAAGTACTCGGTTTCATGTGATACATGCTGAAACATTGTGCTGCACCTAGCTTGGAGTTTGGACGACCCAGGAATCATATCTTTGTTCTTCTGCCAAATAGGTTGGTGTATATTTTGAATGAGTTTATTCTATTGGAATTAAGGTCAGTCACCACGGAGGTACGTACATAACTATCGCATTTGCATGGCATAAACAGCAAATTACAATTTACAGAAGCAGTAGAAAGAACAAACCCCAGAAAAGCAAGAAATGACCACAGATCATTTAGAACATATATAAAATGCATTTTACGGTAGAGAAAAACATTATTGAAAATTTTGGGATAATCATTAGCCTTCTATTTTGCATTATAGAATGTCATTCACTTGTTTAAGAGATGAGTTTTATAATTCTCGTTCAACATCAGAATTGAAATCTTCCTACACACTTTTAGATTTTCGTGCTGACGTGGGTCTTACACGTAATTTTTTCTAATATATGAGTCTCACATATTTTTTATTTCTACAACATAAGATTTCAATTCTTGTAAGCTGAGAATTATAAAACCCTTAAAATACAAGGAGTGATAAGTGAGAATATAAACATTAAGTCATCAACAGTTTCATGAATTCCACCACTAACAAGTACAAACAATAGACCATCTTCAATATGTTCTAGTTCAAACATCAAAGTAGGAACTCCCCAAGTTGCCCGAAAATTTTGGCCTGTCTAAGGATCATTGGCATCCCCATGATTGGTGGCATCTCCTCCATTGCTTCCTATACCAAAACCAAAACCAATGCCCATGCCGAATCCAATTCCGATGCCATTATTCCCACCACGATCACCTCCCACACCTTTGCTTCTACCACCACCACCTGTTCCCCCACCTACTCCAAAACCACCACCTTCACCATTGTCTCCTCCTCCTCCTCCACCCCCACCCCCGCCTCCTCCTCCCATTCCACCCATGCCCATGCCAGCACCGAAGCCACTACCGTGACCATACCCTCCACTGCCACCACCTCCTCCTCCTCCTCCACCACCACCACCACCTCCTCCTCCCATGCCACCTATACCTGCTCCTGCACCAAAACCACTGCCATGACCTTGCCCTCCATTGCCATCTCCTCCACCCTCGCCTCCTCCTCCACCACCACCTCCCCCCATGCCACCGATTCCTCCACCTGCACCATAACCGCTACCATGACCTTGCCCTCCTCTGGAACCACCTCCACTCCCTCCTCCTCCTCCTCCCCCCCCGCCACCATGTCCTCCACTGCCTCCACCTGCACCAAAACCACTGCCTTGACCTATCCCTCCATTACCTATACCACCACCGGAACCACCACCTCCTCCACCACCTCCAATGCCTACCCCAGCACCAAAACCACTACCATGACCAGATCCTGCACTACTTTCATCAATGCCTCCACCCTCTCCTCCTCCTCCTCCTCCTCCACCACCACCACCACCAACACCACCTGGCCCCTCTCCTCCAGCGGCACCGATTGTTTTACTAGGACTAGGATTAACTGCTCCATTCCCTTCTTCACTCTTAGAACCACTACCACCTTTTCCGTAGTAACTACCACATCCCCTCCAACTTGTATACGAACAATAATCATCATCATTATTATCATCACCAAACCTCCACCGACTAGGATCAACAAAACTGCTACCATCTACATAACTCCCATGACCAATACCACTCATCAAAGCACAAATAGTGCTCCACAGAAGTAGAGCCAAGTACATAAACTTAGCACTGGTACCACCCATCGCTTCTATATTTCTTGGTTGTAATGTTCTCTTTATATAGTAAGTCACGTCCACTAAAATAACCCCATTGTCATCCCTGAATTGTCACGGGCATAAGAATTGAACATCCAAATGAAGAAAGGTCCAATCAATTTCTTGCCTGGTCAACCATGGCCGACAGAAAATATTAAACAACACTATAGCCCAATCATAAACTAATTTCTCACTCTAATACTAATCCAAGACCATATGTCCATATGATTGTTGTGATGTTGCGTTTTAATAAAATTAATCTTCCCTTAGACAGCATTATAAGTGTAGTTAATAATAATTATATGTAGTGGAGTAGGTGGCAAAGTATCATCTCCTAATATCAAAATGGAAGAAAGATATTTTTGTTTATAAATTGATACACATGTCCTCACATATTCTTTCGATTCAAGAACTGCTTCTAAATCCAATCACCACTCACTTATCTCTAATTAATTGACAATTTTATGGATGTACATTGATTAGCTGCGTGCACACATAAGCAAAATGAATGCAAAAGCAGCATTATGTGGGTGCCATGTGACCAATTAAAAGTATTGAGTTTTGGTTACTGAGATTTGTTCCTTCTGCTACGAGTTTGTGTGGTTTTGGTAGTGGCTTATTTAGACACTTGAAGTGTACGCCTTACAAAGTACAAGCATATCTCCCACTTGCAGCCCTCCTAAAATTAATTTCATCATTGAACATATATAAAAGTTAAAGACAGCTTGGCTTGTTGGTTTAATATATTACGTACATCAAAAGCACTGAATTTTTTTAGCTTTTGAATCACATCGATTATACCAAATCATCATGCAATCCTCAATAAATGAACAATATAATTGAAATCATTTTAATAATTTCCTCGCTTTGATATGTCTATGTTCTTAACTTATGGTGGGTTCAATTTACCTGTCCAATAGTTTTCGTGGTTGACTGCTTGAAATACAACAATATATGGAGTATGGACGTAAAAAGTTAAATTGTTCTTTCTAATAAAAAGAAAGTGAATCAGTTTAGAGTAAAAGAACTGAAAGAGTAATTAAGACTTTTAAGAGGCCTTAATTGAGTGCTTCCTTTTGGACAGAAAAATTAAAATCCTTGGATATGGAGTTCAGTTCTTGTGTGTCTTAGGATAATTTCTTGTTTGAGCACAATCTTATTTTTTAAGGTCAGTGGCCAGCGGGTGCTTCTTATATTTGCCCCGTTATAACTTATAATTAACTGAGAAAGATGAAAAAGTACTTTATACAATGAAGGGCACGTTTATTCTCTGAGGAGATTAATCAAATTAATTAAGAACACAGGATGCCACTTCTTATGTTACTGATTTTTAAAAACTATGGGAGGTCCAAAATCTTCAAAAGATCTTATTATGTTAAGTGATCATTATTCTTTGAAATTCTTGCCATTTTCTGAAGATAAATAAATTTTAATTGAATTTATAATTAACAGGTTCAGTATTTGGTAAAGCACAACTACTCCCACTTCCGCTCCCGATCATAAATTATATAAAATTTTATTTCAAATTAAAAGCATATATACATGGGGGATAAGATCATGTAAATTTTTCACAGTTGATATCATTTAGCACTAATTTTTCATTACAGCTTTCCGTTGTTTTCTCCCATATTTTCTCCGTTATTTATGGCTCAACTATTTTTTTTTGAATTCTGTATTGACCGTAATTTGTTTTGTGTAAAGAGTACTTTTCAGTTTAGACGGATTTTCCATTGACCTTGGCTACAAAACAACATGAGAGAGATTATGTCTAACGTGTCTCATAAATCTATTGTAACCCAATTAATCCTCAACCGTTTATAGATATGCTTGGAAAGTGTTATTTTATTTAATATCTCTAAAAAATACATCATCCAGCTACATAATTTTGAATATTTGGTCTTTTAAACAAATGCTTTTAATATTCTAACTTGATAAATGTTTATGCATATGTGCAATTTGTTTCACTATGTATATATTGGCACAATGTACACAGATAAACACTTGTCGTTCGTTGATACCTAAGTCCATTAATCTCTTATTCATGGTAAGTCCATTCATCTCTTATTCATGGTACGGCTGCTCTTTAGCTCTTTCAAGTTTCAACTACCTCTACGGGAACGAACAGGTTGTGCATGAAATTTGTATGTGACTACAGAGAGAAAGATATTTAATACAATCAGTTGGTATGTACATTTCGTACAACAAAATAACACTTATTTACTAGTCATTAGGGATAGTAAACGAACCAGGGGCGTTTAACTCGAAGGCCTGAGTTTATATGTTTAGAATTGGTTGTTGGAATCAAGCTTGGACTTGTATAAAAACTCGTTTAATAAAAAGATCTCATGCTCCAATTTAAAAGCTCAGTCTTAGAGCCTTCTAGGCTGGTCTAGTATATTAATTTTTATTTTTATTTTTTATACTACTTGTAATATAGTCCTCTCTATCTCCTCAATCCATTTCATCCCATTTTATTGGTTAAACAGACTTTTTGAATGATTTTGTTCTATAGTATGTTGTTTGGGTATACATTGAATTTATGAATATTTATAGAATTACTAGTGTTGTTGATTGTATATTTTGTTTGGATAATTTTTTGTTGTCTTATTTTTTCTTAACAGGCTAAACCAGACTTTTATTTTTTGTAAATAAGTTACGCCACACGCCGATAATTATATTCATAACAAGTAACAAGCTTGGTCAGGCTGACACATTTAAACACAGACTTGGCCTTTTAAGATCAAAACTCGGCTCGGCTCGACCCGTTAACACCCCTACTAGTCATAAATATAAGAGTACATATATATAATTAAGTTAATTTATTTTGCATTTTAAAATGTTTTTGGTTAAAATTTTAATATTAAATATTTTAATTTTAAAAGCATTATAGGTTGGTTTTCAAAGTTAAGAAATGAATTAACTCTTCTAAATGTATTTGACCAATATGATAATGTATACTTAAGATTGCTTAGTCTTAATTAACAAAGAAGTTTTAACTCAAAGAAAAGCAAATTAAGTTAATTTAAATACATATTATATATTTATAAATTAAATTAAAATTAAAATTATAAATATAAAATTAAAATAACCAGTATAACATTCAATAGGATTGTCACCATTAAATTCTGTTTCAATTTAGAATGTTCCTAGTTGTAATTAACAACCATAGTTCATATAATCCACATAGCCATGGAAATGAGGAACGCCATGATATATCTCTAAATGGCAATGAAAATTTGAGTCATTTATCTTTTATGGAACTAAATTGTGGATTATATATTAATTATTATGGTTATATATGATATGACAACGGAATGTAGTTTTCATGTGTATATTTGATTAAACTCGAATCACGGGAGGAAATTAAATACCTCTTTATTAAGTGGCTAACGTTTACGATCAAGCCAAAGACTAGATACATCTTAAGAAAATTGGAAATTAAGATACTTAGCCCATGGTTGGGATTAGTAAAAAAAAAACACAATACTCGTGGTATAATTAATATGCAAGCATTGTACCCAAAAAAAATAATATGCAAGCCCAACAACAATTAAAATAGTTCAAACCTAAAATCATTCGTTTCTATTAATTATTCATTCAATATGCTCTAATAACAAAGCAGGCTAGCTTATTTCTCAATTACTACTAATAACAGCCCTACATATATAATTAAGGTGGATTTGAAATCATCACTTCAAAGCAGCGAGCATCTTGAACACAAGAAGGTGTACTCGTTAATGTTGAAGTCAGGGTCGTAGCTGATTGATAATTTCACCACCAATGCCCCCACCATAACCATCACCAATCCCACCACCTCCACCAAATCCTCCATTTCCACCACCATAACCACCGCCTATCACGCCACCACCTCCTCCTCCGCCACCAATTCCTCCACTTCCACCGCCAACGCCGCCACCATACCCACCGCCTATCCCACCACCTATCCCACCACCAAATCCTCCATGGCCATTTCCAGGACCATATCCACCTCCAACTCCACCCCCAAAAGCAGGTCCGCCACCATACCCTCCGCCGCCAGCCATGCCACCAGCGGCACCACTTCCATACCCACCGGCAGCAGCACCTTGATAGGCATGTAAATGGTGAAGAACTGTATTCTCTTCACCAAATCCGCGAAGCTTTCTGGCACCAGTAGTAGTCATGCAGGTGGTAATTGCAGCAAGCAAAAGCAACTTGGAAAACATGATTACAAAGGACAATACTATGTATGTGATATAAAAGAAGGTGCTTAGAGACATAGAATATATATAGATAATGTTCCAGTGCTCATATTACATGAAAAGTGAGGAGTTGGGGATTTAAATGGCGTCGTTGTCCCACGTAATCCGTGCTCGAACAGCTAGTACTGGCGCCAATGCTTGGTGCCCCTAATTACTAGTTTTATGACTCTAGTAGGGGTGTGCTCGCAACAAGATCCACCTGATATATGCTAGCTAGGTAGATGAATCACTTGTCGTTTTCATAAGAATAAATTGTTGGAAGAGTACTAGATTCAATAATATCTCTGTATGACCCTACTTAAATTTTTTAATAATGAACATTGGTTTTTTTTTTTTTCATTCGGCTTAATAGTTATTTGACCAAACTTTTAGATTTTTATGTGTTGTTTAACTTAATTTTTAGAATATTTCATTATAGACTCTTCAATAGAAATATGTTATGGCTATCATTATTATTGCTTAAATTAGAAGATTGTAAAAAATATCTAGAAAATCAATATTTGTAATCTTTAAATGAAAAATGTATTGATATAATTCAAACCATGGGTTAAGGAGTGTCACTAGTTAGTGTAAATAAGTGTGTTCTCCATCATAATATATCTAGTTAAAAAAAATTTAGAAAATAAAAGTAATCTCTTTAACCAAAAAATTTTAAATTTTTTTGTTTTTTCAAATATCTCCCTCCCAACATAAATTTACTTTACTTTCTATGTTTATCAAATACGATATGTTATAAGATAGTGAATGCCTAAATAATTAATGCAAAGGGAGTGAATGCCTCCTAAACCAGTACAAATTGTATAAAATAGACAGTCATGCTCATCAACTAAAATTATAAATAAAACAGAACGACTACAATCATGTCATTAATTAGCTGGATCAACTCAAGTTGAAAACACAAATAGATTAAATAATAAAAGACTGAACTTAACTAGCATCTGGGTTACAATTTCTTCAAAGGTCATGCCCCTTTTGTATTAAAGTTGTAGGATTGAGATATACATGTCAAAGAAAGGCTTGTTTTAATTATGCGCATGATTTTAAGCGAGCTTGAGTTCAAGAGAGACATCATTTGCATATAGACTAGGGTCGCTCCGGTTCAAGAATGGATGTAAACCTCTTGAGCTCAGTGACAGGGACAGTATGTCTTCATTCGCTCTCTCTCCTATGGCAGTTATATCTTCGAATCTTTTATGGTCGCTTTTGTAATCAGCAGGCCCTAGTGAAATCTTTTTAGGAGGACTTTTGTTCTCCTGATAAAACAAAATGGAATGAACTGTTTTCAACTATGCATAATTACCTGATAAGTTGTACTTTGATTATGTGCCACTATATATAAGTGCATTTAGAGGAAGGGATTACTTGGGTGCTCTGGTTTCTTAGAAGATCCTCGAAGATTATGTAGTTGTGCATCTTCTTCTGTTCATCTCCGTTACACACCATAATCGATTCACCTCCGTTGTTATTATTGTAAGACTCCTCCTGCTCATGATGATTCCTAGCATACGAGAACAAAACTGAGTTGCTTGTATCGAATATCTATGGACATGGAAATTCTATGATGCTTTAGCAAGAAAATGTTTTTACTTCGAATTACTTAATATGTATCATCTCAAGTATAACATTAGTTTGAGATTTCCTCAATGCATATGGTGTGGTCTCCTATTCGGAGTTTTGGTTCTATACATTTGGGTAGGGAAAGATATTTTATGTTCACTAATTTTTTTTAACTCTATTAATAAAATTGAGAAAATACAGTTTTCTTCATGTTAATTAAACAAATGTATAATTTGAAGTATTTATATGTTTTGGCAGGAAGAGTTTAAATTTGAGCATCACGAATAAAAAAATGATATTAGATCATTGTAGTAATTAAAATTTTATTTATGATAAATTTTTAAATAGATGTCCTAGTGTAGTTCACTTTTTCTTTCAGCGTTGTATATACTCGAATGATAGAATAATTTTTTACATCGCTGGCGAATATCAAAATTAAAAATTTAACAGAAAAATGTCACTAAATGAAATACACTTTTTAAGCCATTTCAAACATCTTTTTTTTTTTTTTTTTGCAAGGTATGTTAGTGTCGTAATCTAAAAATTCCACACACACATACATATATATATATATATATAATATATGATTTAAGAATTAAATTCATGATTCATTATTTTATCTATATGTTGTAAAATAATCCTTACTACAAAAACACATATATATAATAACATGTTACATCACAAAATAAAATAAGATGCTGATTTTCACTTAATTATGATTTTTTTTTACTAACAAGTATATAAGTATGCGTAGGAGCAAGCTGTGAAATGAGAAACGTCCTACATTTTACAATTTAAAAAACAATATTAAAATTATAACTCAAAATATACAGTTCAAAAAATTATATGTGCCATCATCAAAAAGAGAGGAACAAGAAAAAAAAAATTAGAAATACCATTGAGCTTGGGTGCGAGCAAGCTCTTCTGTATAATGAGTTGCGCAGCTCACTTGCTGAGGATTCTGTTGGCCGTAGCTTGAGTCAAAAGTTGAGGAGAATGTGGAAGCTACAACTGGTGCCTTATCATTCTTCTTTGCTGCCGATAAATATAAATTTATATATATCTTGAAATTCAATGAGATAAAGCCTCATATTAAGGTCATTAAAAAGCTTAGTGAAACGTTCTACCATATTTATTAGAGAAAAGTGTGTATTATTTTAAAAGATGTAAAGTTGTGTTATTTTAAGTGAGAGAAAGAGATAGATTATGAGAGAAAGAGAGTGGACAAAAAAAAATATAAGTCTCACTTTTTGTGAGAGTGAAATAACACAAGTTGTATCATTTAAAAGGACAAATATATTTTCCAATTTATTAAGATATAATAATTTCTTTTGGAAATCTTCTACTTCACTGAGGGAACTGATGATGAAACTTGAGTAGCCGTCCAACACTAAATGTTACTTGTCTAGGAACAAAATCTCGGAAAAATATGACGTTAGTTTCATTTTCTTGGTCACGGAAAAGGGAATCAACCAGTTATGCTGACGTGCACTATCTTTTATTTTCTTCATATATATATATATATATATATATATATATATATATATGGGAAAAAGAAATATTATTTAAAAAGATACAAGTTGTGTTCTTTTAGTGACTTGCACAAAGTATGACCGGTCATACTTTGTGTGAATCTGAAAAGTTTTTTTTTTTTTTCATTTTACACGTCAGCTATATCATAAAATATCATCTGTCATACTTTATATAAATCCCATAAAACGACACAAGGTATATCTTTTTAAATTACACACGCTAAACCCATATCATATATGTCCCTGTTTATGGATATCTACTTTTCAGTGTTTTAAAAATCTAATTTCCTCTATTGTACCAAACAAAATGTCTAATCTCCTCTATAGCTAGCTATTTCCTCCATATAGAATATGCAGACAAGTGTTTTCCGTGGCATGAGAACAAGCAAGCAAGAAACTAGTGTACTGTACAATTATACCTTGACTCTCCCGCTCTTGCTTCATGCTTCTGTACATCTGTCAATAAAGAATTTAAAACTTTAAATTGGCTATGAATTATGAAACATTTTTATTTTTTATTCTTTTGAAGAAAAAAGTTGTTTTCATTGATCTTCAAAAAATGAAAGAAGGAAGGAAAAAGGAAGAGGTGAATGATAACCTTTTTTTTTTTTTTGCTATCAATTTATTCATGGGTATGGAGAAAAGAGTACCTGAAGGTGGCTTTTAACATGAAGTATAGTAAGCCCCTTCACATTCATTAGTTGTAAAATCATTTTTGGCGTTGCCCCTGTAAATCCAAATCGATATATCAACATCATTAAAAATGTTCACGAATATATTGAAAATTGAGATTTTCATTAAGACATGATGACTGATCCAAAATTAGAGAAGAAATTATAAGGGAGAAGTTAATATATATAGAGGAACATAATCAACTTAAATCCATATAGTAATAATATATAATAAGTCTTACACCAATGTATATATATATATATAAAAAAGAGCTTACTTTCTTCTCCTCCTAGCCTTTGAACTGCATGCACGAAGCAACGATGGAGATCTGGTGTCCAACGAAGCCGAGGCCTTTTTGATCGAACGTAAGACCTAACCATTGGCGTTTTCAGGCTTTTCTCTGGAAGCTGATGAGAACCGAAACAACGAAGGTGAACAGCTCTTGATTGAGATGGGTGTGAAGGGTTATTATTAATAACACTGCTAATGGGAGAAGAAGAAGAAGAAGACATAGTTGGAGTTAAAGACCATTTAAGAATGCTCTCAGCTTCAGCCTTCATTGAATTCTATATATTTTATTTGTTATTAATTAAGGTGCAGGAAGGGGAGAGACAGAGGGAGAAGTTGGTCCATGAAGAAACAAAAGAGAATAAATACTAAGCAATAGTTGTGTGTCAGAAAGGCTTGTCCTTTAGTGCAGCTTTTGTTACACCTTTTCGAAGGGTCAGTTTAGTCCTAGAGAGTTTCGATGGATAAAAGGGAAAAACTTAAGACACGGAAACTCAGAAACCAAAAAATTTGTTCAAAAATGCCTTCATGATTGGGTGAAAATGAAAGGTTAAGAAGTGAAAGGGCCGGGCCGTTCCATCACTGTGGTCTTTGTGATATCATTTTCTTTAGACATTCCCTTGGGTCTTTTCCTGACATTCTTTGTCTCTTAAGGAAAGGAATCAGCTATAATATACTTATTCATTATTACATTTACAATTCAAGAATAACTTACCCTTATAAATACTATTTATTAGTAGAGGTAAAGTCAAACCATAGCCAGATACTAACTACCCTGATTGCACATGCTTCTCCTTATAAATTTACTCTCTCTTTTTCAATTACTTCTTTTCTTCTTAAATTCATTCACTTATTAATTATTCATCTAGATGTTTCTTAAGAGAGGGTAATAAATACCCATAAGAATAATTTATGTAAGCTGGGATAAAAAAAATTCTCAAGTCAAATTAACTGCAACATGAATGCGGTAACAGTCATCATCTAAGACTATGTTATAAAAAAAAAAAAAAAAAAATGTAACACCTTGGAAACAAAAATATAATAGGAAAGTTGCAGGCTTAGAGGGAGGAAATATTGAACTTTAGACACTGTCAAATACTGTAGAAAGATGGATGACAGAAGCAATATTGAATGTCCCAAAGAAACCAATGCATAGCTTCCGATTATCCCTCCTTTATTATAAAGTGAAGCCAATGCATTACAAACAAAGACAAATAAAGTCTCTTCATTCGGGACAGAACCGAAAGCTCCCTATATTAAGGCCAGATAATTTGGCCACGCACATTCACACCAACACCATGCTCCTTCGAGAACCAATCATGTGTTGCCACGTAGACATGGTTCGCATGTCCGGGTTTCCTCTCATGTTTACACCTAGTTAAGGATAGGGAATTAGCATTGGTGAGCATGTAAATAAGAATGGAGATTGGTGGCATGCGTGGAAGGTTCTGAAGATAATGCCAAAATGGTTGAACTGAATCCAAGTGCATGTGATGACATTTCTCCACACACACGGCCGGGGGCGCGTGAGCGGGGTTGTGTAAACGCAAACGCAAAGGCATGCAGCTGACATGATGCGGTTTCAAAGTGGAGGAATATTCCCTTGGAAGGATTGGCAGAAGCAAGGGCAGCGTGGCTTCGTAACCACAACGACATTCGGAATGAATGGCAATGTAGATAAGCTTCAAATATTGTCTCCACTTGGGAGCTCTCATCTAACCATTCATATTAAATTATGGAGATTGTTTTTCTCATCTAACATAAGAGAAAAAATCTCCTACACACGTACGAAAGAGAGAGAAGAGAGAATAAAGGAGAGAGATAAAATTTAAAGTAAGTCCCATATTCAATTTGTATCTAGTGTATGAGATAATTATCTCATGTAAAATGAGATAATTATTTCCCTTAAATTATATATATATATATATGAAAAAAGTATTTCTACAGCCACTTTAGATAAGGTTATCTACAGCTATCTTTTTTAACTAAGTATGAGGTCATATTTAGTTATAACAATAAAGCTATTCTTTTTTTTCTCTTTCCTCAGACACTGTCGACTGACGTGGCGGAGAGAGATAATGCAATTTTAATGTATGACCGGTCATACTTAGTTAAAATAGGGTAGATGTAAACAACATTATCTAAAGTGGCTGCAGAAATATTTTCCCCTATATATATATGAAGTAGGATCCTTTGACATCAGTGTCAAATTTAAAGTTTCACACCTCATCTGAGAGCCATTAGATTAAAAAATTCAACCTGATTTGTAAGCATACGACACCATTGATCTTTTTTGATCTAACGGCTCTCAAATGAGGTGTCAAATTTTAAATTTGACATATATATATATAGAGGTAAGATCCTTTGACACTAGTGTCAAATTTGAAATTTGACACATCATCTATCGTCATTGATTTTTTTTATCTAACGGCTCTCAGATGAGGAGTCAAAAACTTCAAATTTGAGAGTGGTGTCAAAGAATCCTACCTCATATATATATATATATATATATATATATATATATATATATATATATATAGGGTGAGGATCATTTTACACCAGTGTAAGTTACACTCTCAATCTTGTCCGATGATCCCACTTATATCTAAGGGCTCAAATTTTTTAGTAATGTGAGCCATTAGATACAAGTGGATCAATGGTCAAGATTGAGTGTAAGACTTGTAACTCTTACACCGGTGTAAGAATATCCTGCCCCATATATATATATATATATATTTGTTAAGAATGGTACGGGGGAGCCCAAAATCCATTGTAAGGGATACATCCATGGGCCAAGCGATAAACCATTCTTAACAGTGGTATCAGAGTCAAAGGTTTGGTTGGGCTGGGTATTTAGAGATGGTGATGTTTCAAGGCTTCCGCAGAAGGCTAATGTGACTCCAATAGTAAAGAGAAAAAAGACTTCCGCAGAAGTTGCCCTTGGGGAGCATGATGTTGGGTCTCACACTTGAGGGGAAGATGTTGAAAGTATTCAAGTATGATTTATAAAGAAGTACCACATCGGCTAGACATAGACCAAGTGATGACCATATAAAGTGTAAAAGACCCATAAACCTACAGCCTTAAGGTTTTGGGTTGAGATGAGGTGTCAGCCCGCTTATTGTGGTTTCTCATTTGCCCCATTGGTGAATAAATCCTTTGCAAAGATTTTGGGCTCCCTCGTACCATTCCCAACAATTTTATACTAGTGTATCAGTATAAGTGTTATTGTCGGTCAGCCATACGGCGGTGAATTCGTTCCCGGGCCTTGCACACACCGCCCGTCACACTATAAGAGCTGGCAATGCCCGAAGTCGTTACCTTAACCGCAAGGAGGGGGATGCCGATACTTTTGCGAATATTTTTTATCATCCATTTTGTTATTGCTTTTGAGACATTTAGAAACAATTTAGTGTATATATATATATATATATATATATATATATATATATACATATATATATATATGAGGTAGGATCCTTTGACACCAGTGTCAAATTTGAAATTTGACACCTCATCTTATAGCCATTAGATAAAAAAAATCAATGGTGTCACATGCTTACAAATCAGAGCCATTGATCTTTTTTTATCTAAAGGCTCTCAGATAAGGTGTCAAATTTCAAATTTAACACCGGTGTCAAAGGATCATATCTATATAATATATATATATATATATATATATATATATATATATATATATATATATATATATATACGGGTCAGGAATAGTTTCTGGGATTAAGACTTTAAACCTCTTTCAAAAATGATATTAGAAACAATCGAACATATGCTTTCACTGCACATTTTCTTCTTCAACATGAAAGTACCTAATTCATACAAAGCAAAGCTAAATCATCAAATAAAAAAAGAATTGAGGGGGAAATTGAGACCAACACATTAATAATAACTCAAAGCTGAATGTGAGCTATTGACAGTAAATCATATATAGTATATTGAAATTATAGAAATTTAAATATACTCTGCATTATTCTAAGATAGAAATAAGATATTGTGAGATAATTTTTGTAGTAATATTGACAACAATATATGCCAACTCTCTAAGTATGTAATGCTTCTACGGATTTACTTAAATTAGAAAAGCCTAGCGTGACGACCTCTAGCCCTGCCACAAAGAAGAGCATTCTTTGGTATTGGATATTCATCTCTCCATGACTTTGAAGGTGTATATACCCTGAGATAGAATTGCTGCCCCAAGTATTGCCTTGCCCAATTCTCAGACCTTATGTTCCACATTCCTACATTGTCTAGCGCCATGTAGACTGCAGTCCATGACCTTGGGTACACCTGAGTTCAGTTGGAACAAAAACAAAGCTTTACAATAAGTTGTTTGAAACTACAGCTTTTCTATTCCTCAAAATTCACAAGTAGTTTAACTAACAATTCCATACACTCGTGTGTTTTTTTACCTGAGTGGTGCATCTAGAAACAGTGTCTCTCAGATTGTAGTATCCTCTACTTGCAGGTGTCCACTGCCCTGTACCGAACCTAATAATCTCACAAGATGAAACGTAAGATATTTAAGTGCATGCAAATAAATATGGAAACATGTGGTTAATAAGTTTCATTGGTATAATTAAGTTTACCCTACAACAAAGAAAGAATAGCCATCAACATGCCATGATTGTACAGAGTTCTCCCAATTTTGGAACACAATCTCCACATATTCATGGAAATTAGCCCCCATGACAGAAGTTTGGAGGTAGGCTTTGCTCCTGGTGGGCTTGGTAGGAATGCTTCCAACAGAGAAAACTCCAGGGATGTTGTAGTAGTCAGCTAGCTTCAATGGGGTATCTGGTGCAACATATGAGACACTGTTGACCGCATACCTTTGCTTGCCATTGATAAAAGGGGCAGAGTTTGCCAGCATGATGGTTCGAGTGGGTTTTATGAATCCGTAGTGGTAAGATCCTTGAGGGTTTGGTCTAGGTCCACTTGCTGTCAGGTTCCACCTGATTTAAGGAGCATTGAAACAAAAAACATGAGAATTACATATTAGTTACCTAAGAAGTACAAACTATACTCAAGTTTCTTCAAGATTTTTCTTCAAAACCTATGTCTTAGTGACTTATTAACATCTTGCATACCAAATTAAAATCTTAATTTTAAATGGATTTTTTTTTTTTGGTTGTGACATTGAACTTAAAAGATGACGAGCCCGGAGCAGAGGTACAATTGCTCCTTTGTGATTGAAAGATTATGGATTCGAATTCGAGAAAACTGCCTCATTGCAGATATGTAAGAATAAGGCTGTGTATCCCCACCCTTACATTAGCTAGTCGATGTTTAAGGGAAAGTATTTTTCTTACGTGACACTGAACTTCCAATAATGAAGCTTCATGTATATGAAAATTTCAATAGTTATAGGCTTCAAATGGAGAAAAAGTTAACAAGGAGTACCGGATAGTTCTGGCCTGATATAGAGACGAAGCAATATCAAGGGTAGGTCCTGGGGGAACGGGACCAGATACACTATTGCATGAATTGCTGTAGTGAAGAATGGAAGTTGTTGTTAGCATTCGTCTGGTAAATCTTGTAGACACAGCTATGTAGTAATCCTTGGCAGGCTGATTAGTTGTGACAAGCACAGAATAGGACTGCCCAAGATGGATGTCAAGGGAAGAAAATGTGTTCTGGAGGGTATGAGATCCTTCTACCTCCACAAGTTTCATCTTGTGACCCTGGATTCTGAAGTTGATGGATGTTTTGAGCCCCACATTTGATATCCTGAATCTGTAAGTCTTACCTGCAGATGGCATATTGAAAAAATAATGATGCAATAAAAGGCACGAGTCTTAAAATTTAGGGACGTCAATGTTAAAGGCTGTGGCAGAGTATGAGGAAGTTCCTCAATAGTTAAGAAACAAAAGTGACTAGATTTTAACCAACCTTGGTCAACGGTGAATGTGACTGCGTTCCAACCACGTCCATTGATAAGAAGTCCATGAGGAAAGGGAAGATCATGACCATTATCTAGGATTCGTTTCAGTTCCTATAACAACAGATAAAAAACAATGCGCAAGTATTATGGAGAACATGGGGAAATAATGTAAATAGAAGAGATTGAAACAAATGCAAATGGTTTTTACATGATGGTCTGTCTTGAACCAATCTCCAACAAGTATGGAGAAGTCCCCTGAAGGAGGAGGAAAAGGAACAGGAATTCTAGGACGGCTCCGAATTATGATGCTACCAAATCCACCAGCAGCTTTTTGCATTCCAAGAGATGGGAAATAGAAAAAGCTACCAATCTGGTCTTTCACTTGGAGAACATAAGTGAAGTTCTTCCCAGGTGGGATTGGACAGTTTGTGCCATAAACTCCATCTTGCCATGAGTTCCTCCTTTGCTGTAATCCGTTCCTGCAGGAGGTATGTTAATGAGTCAAGACCATCCAATTCCAATAAACTATATCATTTACTTGAATAAATACTCAAAATCATTGGTATGATTGCACAGAAAACGAGTCTATCAAAAAGAGAAAACCATTCATTCTTGGAGGTAGAAATAAGATACAAGAAATATACCATGATATTAGGAATGGTTCAGTAAGATAGTTATACACACTGATGATCAGGTTGTCATTTGTAACTGCTTCTATGAGAGGCCCTGGGAATTGCCCATTAATCAAGATCCCCTACAAAATTGAAACCAAGAGCTACATTGAACCCCAAACATCTTTAACAAAGACTTACTATCTGTTTATTCATATATAAATGAAAAAGAACATGCATTTGTTGCTCATGCTAGCAGAATCTGCATACCATGAGGTTTCAAGAAACAAGAATGGCTGTTTCTAGTAACTAAAAAGAAGAAAGTAAAAGATGTTATAAGGAAAAGAACCTGTTGCTTAACACCAAGAGGATGGACGTCACCGTAGGTGATCTTCCAAGTGAAGAACCTATATGGGTCTTCGCATTTGACCCCAGTACAAAGAAATGAAATTGCAACAAGAATAATGAGAGAAGAAAGAGCGTTGCGTAACCTCATTGTGAAAACACTTTCTTTCTCCCCACCACAAACAGAACTTGTAAAAAGACAGAAGAGTTTTGTTTCTTAGAAACTATATATCTGTGGTAAAACAAAGATTTAGCGCCAGCTAATAAAGAACTTGCAACTACAATGTCTTACTCTCTTCCTCTTGTTTACTAGTAACGAGTGCGCGAAGAAAGATTGAATCAGTTATCAGCAGTTTAGAGTCAGCGCACATATATATATATATATATATATATATATATATATATATATGGGTAAAGCGTGTGTCATCTTTAAGGACGTAAAGTTGTGTCATTTTATGAGAGAGGAAGAGATACATAAAGGAGGAGAGAGAGTTGACAAAAAAAATAAAGGTGTGGGTCCCACTTCTTTGTGAGAGTGAAATAATATAAGTTGTGTCATTTAAAAGGATAAACACTTTCCCCATATATATATATATATGGGTTTAGTGATTGTACAAAAATTTGGTCCAGTGTTCTTCCAGGAGAATACAGTTATAGTAAATATTATAACTATGTTTTCCCGAGAGAACATCATTATAATATTTAGTGCACTATGTTCTCCCGGGAGAACTTAGTGCACTGGATGATCCGATCACTGAATTTTTATTTTTTTCCTATATATATACCCTTGCTTTATGCTATGAAAGCATTTATATATGGGTTTTATAATTCTAATTTAACATGAGAATTATAATTTTTCTACACATCTTTCGATTTTCGTGCTATTATGAGTCTTACATATGATTTTTTCTAACACATAGGTCTCACATATTTTTTATCTCTACAACAAAAGATTGTAATTCTTATTCAACATGAGAATTATAAAACCCTTTATATATAGAAAAATTAAACTGGGGATGTATATCCTTCCTTTATGCTATAAAAGCATTTATATATAGGAATGATATCTTAATATTAGTATGGAGTATAATCTACCAAAAATATAATAGCATTATTAGTAGCTGTGGAATACAAAAGGTTTATTTTGAAGATATTTTAATTGGTTCATTCTTTCGCGATTGGTTCAGTTTGTAACAGATTTCGAGATTAAAACTTTAAATCCCTTCTAAGAGAATCGAACACATGTCATTATCCTTATTGCTCAGTTTTTTGGCGCCAACTAGTTACATCATTTGGTACAAAAGGTTTATTTCTAATGTATTATATTTTTTTTAAAAAAATTATCATATGAATAAGGGGTGGGATCCATTGGTTTATCTATTTAATTTTGTTATATTTTTAGTTATTTTAAATCGTTGATTTAAATTTAATTGAAAAAAATAAGAAGAAGAAGAAGATTAAATTAATATGCAATATAATCAATCCCTTATTTTATTAGTATTTTCGTTGATTAATTAATTTTACTTATTAGATTTCCCGTGCTAACGTGCGTAGCTTTCATCATTCAACGATCTATGCAAATTCTTTTAGGGCCGTTTCGATCAACTCTTTCTTCTTATAAAACTGCTTTTTTTCAAGAAAAAAAATACTTTTTTTTGTTTGTTTGGATGTCTGCTTTTTTTAAAAGCATAAGTCACAAAAAAAAAAGTCAAAAATCTACTTTTTTCAGAAGTTAAAAATTTTAACTTCTAAGAAAAGCAAAAGCCAAAAGTCAAATATTTTTATAAAAATATAAATAGCTTTAACTTTTATAAAAATCACTTCTAAAATAAGAAAGAGATAAAAGTTACTGTTTTGAGAAGCTCAAACAAACAGGCTCTTAATAGTATTTGTATTAGGATTTCTCTATTCAATATATAGATAAATTATCTCTGGTAAACTCAAAATGACATCGTTTTGGAACGGAAATCAATGTGTTTTTATAATTCTAATATATTGCAGGGTTATATTAGTCTTTATCATTATTATTTTTAATCTTATAACCTCAAAACGACGTCGTTTTAAACTCACTTATCTCCGGTGACTGAAGAAATATTTTTCCCTTTAGTATTATCTCTTATTAATTTTATTATCATTGTTCTTACTATTTTTTATTTATTCGATTTATCATTGTGATATACATCAATTTTTCATTCGACAACTCTTAAATCACAAACATCATTTAAATAATATTATTCTACTTTTTTATTATGAAATTAATTATCTTAATTTTATTAAAATTATTTTTGAAATTTATTTATTAAAATAGTATTGTTATTTTTTTTCATTTAACTGGTAAAGAATCAATTCAACCTAAAAGGTTCTGATACCATGTAAAGAATCAATTCAACCCAAAACTTTAAGATATTGGGTGATGGCCTTTTTAATTGTTTATATTATTCTATAACACAGCCCTTACATAAGAGCCCTTTGAGATTGAAGTGTGGATAATGTACAAGTCTATATTTATTTTTTTTGATTTTATCTTGTGCTTATTTAATTCCACTTGAAAGTGGGGAGCAGTGATGATCGCACTCGTAATTTCATGGTCACTTAAGCTTTGATACCATATAAAGCGTCAATTCAATCTAAGCTTTTGGGTTGAATTGGTTTGTTACATGGTATCAAAGCTTAAGTGACTACAAGATCACGAGTTCGATCCTCACCCCCAATTCAATCTAAGCTTTTGGGTTGAATTGATTTGTTACATGATATCAGAGCTCAGAGCTTAAGTGACCATGAGATTACGAGTTCAATCCTCACTGCTCTTACTTTCAAGTGAAATTAAATAAGCACAAGATAAAATCAAAAAAAAAATTGGACTTGTACAATATCCACGTTTCAAGCACAAAGAGCTCTTGCGCGGGGTTGTAATAAAGAATAATATAAATCATTAAGAAAATCTGTATTCACCACCTTAAGATTTTTGGTGAAATGATTCTTTATGCAACTACTTCTAAATTATAAGAAACCTTTCAATAATTTTATAATCTTACTTAACTTTTTTATTTCTTATTATTAACTTTTTTATTTCTTATTAAATTCAAGTTTTACATTATCTTATATTAATTATGTTTTATTACTAAATTTCCCATGTTTCACTTTCTTCTTAAATAATAACAAAGAATAATCAGAGAAGCTAAAAGTAAACTAATTTTAAGTAGTAGCAGACAGAGAGAAAAATGCTACCCAGAGCGTTCTTGAAGAAATAAGACATATTTGAGCCCATCTACTCATGGTACCTCTTGAGCGCGTGTTTTCATTGTTGGATTACATTTTGTAAATTATATTTGATATTATTGACTAAGGTAATGTTTTTCTCCTTTTATATGACACAAGCAATTTTTCTACACAAACATAAAAGTGAATTCATTAATTTTTTTACTTTTCTTTTAATTTAAAAATAATGGACCCCATAATTAATTGTCTCTATAATATGACCTAAGAATTTTCCTACAACATAATATTAATTTTTCCCTATTAACTATTAACTTTTTTTTCTTTTTGGTGTTTAGAAGTAACTCTTTTTATTCACGTTAGTATGTCCCATCAATAGGGTGAAGTACTGAAGTCCAATGGCCCACTCATCATATTTTATACCAAACTAATATGAACTTACTTAACAATAAAATATTATTTTTTGACATCCAATTTCCAAATTAAATGTAGTTAAACAAAGTTAAAATTATAATTATTTGTTGAGAAAAATATTTCTGCAATTAATGCAGATAAGTTATTTGTATTTATTCTCAAAACGATGTTGTTTTGATATTGAAATCTTAAAAAATTATAAATATAAAAATACCATAATTTCCGTCCAAAACGACATTGTATTAGACTTACTGAAAATAACTTATCTGCAGTAACGGCAGAAAAAACGAACTATTATTTATTTTATTAAAATAGTAAGAATATCAAAAGTAATTTATTACTTCATATTCATTCAGTATAAAGAGGTTGTAATTAATATAACTACGAATTTTGTGATTCACATGAGGTACATTTTAATAATTATATAAGACGGGTACAAACCATTTCAACGTGCGGGGATAGCTCAGTTGGGAGAGCGTCAGACTGAAGATCTGAAGGTCGCGTGTTCGATCCACGCTCACCGCAAATACCCTTTTTCATTTCCAGCACCCTGAATAGTAAGGAAACTAACCCCCGAACAGAAGTGGGAAGAAGCAAGCAGAGTACCAAAAGGATATTCATCACTAAACAACCAAGTTTTCTGACATTGTTTCTCCTTTTCACTTTTCTTCAATCCATACACAACCGCCTGCAAATCACACCTATACAGCAAAGAGTGAGAATAATCATTTTACATTCACCAGCGATCACTGTCACTGACATATAAAAGTGCTCACTCATAGACACATAACTTATGAACATGATCACCGCGATCATAAAAATTTGTCTAAGCTTGAACAAATTTAGTCCTACTTTCTAAAAGTCCCCTGAATAAACTGCATATTAGCATACAAAATAGTAGGGGTGATCATAAACCGATTCAAAACGCGGTGACCGAACCGAATAAACTGAAAACCGAAAAAAAACCGCAAATTTTAATTGGATTGGATCGGTTTTTGGATGGGTTGATGAAAATCGATCCAATCCAAACCGATCCAATATATTAATTTTCGTCTACCTACTTGAATTTTTCCCTAATCATAGCCTAAAAATTTCTAAACTCAAGACCCGTTAACCCATCAACTAAACCAAAAAAAAAATCTAGTCACATCTGATCAACAAAATTTTATGTTTGTAAAGCTTCATATCTCATTGTCCAAAAAAAACTATATTATAGTTTACTAATACTTTTGTATTTCAATTTTTTTTTTTACAAAACCAATATATACAAAAGATGTTATTTGCACAATAATCATGAAATAATATTTAGGATTTTCAAAAAATCGAAAACCGATCCAATTCAAACCGAAAAAAATTGGATTGGATTGGATCGGATTTAAAAGAAAATCCAAACCGAATGGATGATTATATGATCAAACCGAAGGGATTGGATCGGATGATTTTTGCTTCCAAAACTGATCTAATCCAGACCGCGAACACCCCTACAAAATAGTGATCCCACAAAAATTTTAACATGAAAACTAGTAGATAATCATCAGAATCAAACTGAATGCAACATATGTGCTTAGAAGTAAGACTGGATTATAAATAGAACATCAAGCAAATTATATTTTGTTAAAGTATATATATAGATGAAAGATATACTTACCACCATACTGAAGTTACGCTCTTGAATGGGCCTTCTCAGAAGAAATTGAACAATGACATGCAATCCACCAGCTGGATTGCTAGAAGTGTCATAAATGTCTGGAGTAACCTCCTTTGACACAAGTGCCCTAGGTTAGGAGTAGGAATTTAGTGCTCTCCCACCACTTTTGAATTGATGACGACCGAGGAGAGAGAAAAAGTTAGGGAGGAAGAAGAGAAAAATAAAAATTTAATCCAAGTGTCATATTCTTATTAGAGGGACCACCAAAGTCCGGGACCATATTAAATTTTTTCCTAAGTTAGGAATTTTTTTTATTGCATCAAATGCACTGCACCGTACATCTGTCAAAAAAAAGAAAAAATTTGGGATTTGATAGGAAATTCTTAAAAAGATATGAATTAAATGGGAAGAAAAAAATTTCTTTTCAGAAAAAAAAAATACGTACCAATTTGGGTATATCCCATATACCCACTTGGGTACATCCTAACCTTGGAAAGAAATACTCCTAACCTAGGGAAATTTTTTTCTGTATATCGAATATATCCAAATGGATATATCTTTTTTTCAAAAAAAGATAATTTTCTTCTCATTTAATTAATCTCTTTTTAAGTATTTTTCATCAAATCTCAAATTTTTATTTTTTTTGAACAGATATATAGGTTAGATGAAGCCACATTAATTTCTATGGTAACAAATTAATACGAGAAAAAAAAAATCTGCAGAATGCAACTGCATAAGGTCACTAATTGCTCTCATCCTCCAAGGCAACTCCAAGTATTCCACGAACTAAAGTTGTAACTTAATATCTTAGTAGAATGGACTCATCAAAGACCTGATTTCTTTTGGACTTGACTGAATGACAAATAATATAATATAAAAATCCCTAATTGATATTTATCTAATAAAAGTTTTTGGGGTTGAAATAATATTTTTATATTATATCATAGCTCAATGATCAAATGGTCACAAATTCAACATCCCCACCTCCTATTCTATTAAAAAATAATAATAAATATTATAAATTTTCTTTACCAAGACCACGTGAACCCTTGTGTAAGGAAATGTTAAAGAGAAATATAATATAAAAAGCTAACTTCACCGAGCTGAATTTATTGTAATGTGTTTTCTTTTCTTTTCTTTTTTTAGAAACAAAAACAAAAACAAAAATTCCATGACTACAACATTAATCTCAATAGGCTCAACCTCCCCACCGAAGGTGGTGGTCATGGTTCCATTCCCATTCTCCCCATCCCCAACTGGAACTGAATCCCAAGCTTGCTTCCAACACCTACTAACACAAACACACACAAAGGAGCTTCAAGTTTGAAATTACTACGAGACTGAATTGTTTAAATCGTTCTTCCCAGAAAATGTAAGGAGAAAATGACGAGGTAAAGAAAAACAAAGTTAATAAAAACAAAAAGTGTCATAGTACTCCAACTCAATGTTGATATCTATGTTATGTTCGGGAATATATCTTCTTAGGTAAATTTTTCAAATGAAAAAGTCAGGTGAATGAAGAAATAGACACAGAGACCTAAAGTGGTGAGGTCCTCATAAAATTTGTAGGACCGTATTTTATGATCTTTATATTTGTATCCCTCTGTTCACGTGTTCACATGACAAAATTTATATGAGAAGATCTATTCCTATTATGTTCATTTTTTACATAAATTAGTTAACAAAAGGAAGCATATTTAATTACAACAACCCCCCACGTGAAAATTATACACCCTACTTTCTTAAAAGGAAGCATCTATCTTTAAGCACTAAGTTTAGAACAACAGGTCATCCAGAATTCTTTTTCTCTTATCCTTTGTCACTAAGAAATTCAAAACAATCCTACATATTCCCCCACCTCCAAAAAAAAATCTATTATTTGCAACTCACAAAACGAATAACAACATAGTGGGGAAAGCAGCAACTAAGTAAATGTGCAAAATGTTGTTCATTGCACTTATTTTGATGCTGCTAAAGGTTCTGAACCTCAACTTCTCCCCTGCATTGCTTGAATGAGTAGAGTTCACTACTTGCTTTGTCTTGTTGCTTAATTCCTTACTGCATCACATTGATCAAGAAAACACATTTAGGTAAAGAAGCAAGTTCTTAAAATTTAAAAATGCCCAAAAGTTCAGATTTGGAGAGCAGTTTAGGTCTTTTTTATAGGAGCACAGTAAAAAATGACTGGGCAGATAAGAAGACAATAGTTGTTACCTTCCAGGAAATAGACAGTTGCCGTGACCTGCAAAGGTATTATTCCCCACAAGAGAGAAAAAAAAATATATTAATTATTGTTAACACCAGCAATAGACAACGAAGAGAAAAATATACTAAATTGTGGAGCCCATTTGAACAAATGCAATATCTAAATAGATATACCGAAAGTATGCTTGTATACCAGATATACTTGGGATTGCAAGAAAGGATACCATAAGAAACTCTTTAAAAAATTGAACATATGTAGGTAATCCAGAAACAAGAAACAGAATCTTTGCAATTTTGAGGGTAAACAGCCAAACAGGGGCCCTCACACAAACTGGTATCCAACTGAGTCATAGTGAGGTTCATGGTTCCCCTCTTCAACAAGGCACTGTGATCTCTAGTCCCTCTTTTCATTTCAATTTTCAGTTTAGAAAAAAAAAAAAAAAAGTAGAGACAAGCCAAAGTGCCTTTGTAATATGTGGGTGCCACACACAAATGCATTTCATTTCAGAAATCATTGCCTCCCCACAGTTTCAATTTTCCCTTTTTCCAATCTTAAGTAAGAGATGCTTACAGTGCAATAGTGCACAAGCCTTTTCTCATCTTAGACCGTCAATTCTCCCTTAGTATCATAAAGTAAGCTAACGATGCAAAACAAGAAGGATTTTAAACGCATAATAGCCACATGAAAATTGGAACCCCTTCCCACTAAAGAACCTAGCCAAATCTGATGTCATATTAAAATCCCAGATTCCCCAGGATGCAGTTAGCAACACATTATAATGGACGACTAAATGAATTCAAATGCAATATCAAAACTCAAAATTGAGCAAAAAAGACTAAAGAGTTATAGTATTCACTAACTGGGGTCACTGGTTGTGATCATAGCTGCTCCTTTGAAGTCACAAGACTCAGGAGACTTCCCTTCATTCTGGTAATAGCTATCAAACGCATAAGAAGCATGATTCTTCACATTATTAGGCTGATAACAATTCTCCCCAGGTTGAATCTCCGAACAATTAGATCGCCCCGGTCCACAAGCCCAATCTAAAGCTGCCTGCAAAGTCTTGGAATCAACACCATCCATGGCAATGCAGTATGTCTGATTGGCAGCATCATTGGCCAGAAAAGTTCCAATTCCAGACACACGAAGCAAATAAGAAGGCGTAGCATTCCCATAAAACAAACCCCAGTTAGCCTCAGACACTGGCGGGGACCTCAAATCCTCGTTGAAAAGTTCGTATATAAACACATTCGAAGTAGTTTCGGGATGCAAAGGGGTTCCACTACGATCAAAAACATGCTTGATCAAGTTGGAATTGTAAGTGTCCGCATTGTCTCTGGTTGCATAAGGCTCCTTGGAATCACCCTTGGAAGGCCAACCCGTTTCGGTGACAAGAACCACAACATCGGTAACGTTAAGGTTCTTCATGGAAAAATAAGCAGCATCGATCATGGCATCAAAAACGCTGGTGTAGTGAAGAAGAGTGTTGGGGTCCACCATTTCCTTAGAAGGCGCGAGAGGCTTCAACAAGGAGTTGTCGAGAGGAACAACACCCTTGTTCCGCATGAAGACGTAGTAAGGGTAAAGGTTGAGCATGAAAGGGGACCCAGTTTGGGAAAGGAACTGAAGAAGAGGGAAGACGAAAGAGGAAAGGGTTTGGTTGAAGAAAGCCTGAGAAGGAGGAAAAGGGTCGACGATTATGGAAGCAGAATGAGGGGTTGAAACTTTGATCTGATTGTGAAGATTTGAAGCTACGAGTGCAGAGTGAAGGGACTGAATGGCGGGGAGGAGAAGAGGGGCGGAGGAAGGGACGGTGGTTAAAACCTCGTCGCCGACGGAGATGGCGGCGATGAGGGTGCGAGGGTAGTGAGCGACGACGTTTCGACGGATCCATGAAGAAGCGGTGGTGTTGGAGGAAGCAATAGCGATGAGCTGGTTGTTGGGTACGCTGATGGTGACACGAATGTTGGTGTCGGACAAGGCTCCGAGGATGTCGGTGTTTGCATCGTAGAGACGGATGTGTGTGATCTTCTGCTTCTGAAGGAACGCCACAAGCTCTGATGGTGACATCAGGTTCGAGACATCTGTGCCAATGTTCACACCCACGAATGGTTCATTGTCTTCGTTCTTGTTTTGCTGATCAGAATTCGCAACTTGAATGAAAGCTAAGAAGGCTAAGAGCAACAAGGACAGCGCGTGGATAATAGAGTTTGTCATTGAAAAGGGGCTTGCTCCCATTACAAATCCTCATCCTCTGAGAAGGTTCTTTGTTTTTGGGTTTGAAATTGGAAAGAGATTGGGGTTATACATGGATGATGGATTCTTACTCTTACTTGGAGGAAGCAAGAAAAGAAACTGTGGGAGTAACTTTCTACTTTCTAGCAGCTGCATTATTCAACAGATTTTCCTGCATTGAATTGTCTAAATTATCCTTCCCTGCTTCTACTTGTGGAGAATATGATTTTGCTGAATAAAAAGAAAAATAGTGGATTGGCCTATTCAAATTGTTTTTAACTGACATATGGTCCTACTTATTTAAACATGAAACTAATTTTTTTTATCATAATCAATTATAAAAGATTTACACCCGAAGACAAAGTGCAGAACGGAGAAAACAAAAACATCTCACGGGGCTTCAATTTGGTAAAGGAAATTGACTTTCTTCGTCGTAGTCTAGGGATTTGAGCTAAAAGAGAAAAAAAAAAAATTGAAGAAAATGGTGGCATTTTATGTATGAACTGTTAACAGTTCTGTGGTGGAAGACAATGGCTTTACTTTTTTATTTTAACCAATGATGTTGTTGACTCATTTAAATCGAACTTTAAAGATGGTTCTTAAATTTCAACAGGACAGCCTGGCTTGTGCATAGAGACGTTACTTGTTCACTGCTGCATTCAAATGCTTCTCTTGCTTTGAACGTGATCGTTTCTATCTAATTAGCTTTTATTATTATAAAAAAGCGTACTGTTATTTGGAAACACATGCTCGGTGGTGTGTGCTTTAAAAAAAGTTCTCTGAAGATATGTATTTTTATTTACTTTGAGCTTTTAGGATATGCATTCAAATGACAAAAGAAATTAATGTAGCTACTGTAAAATGTGTTTTTATAAAGATAAAAATCAATTTACAACACATACATAGATACACTGAATTTAAATATATCCAACTAAAAAACCACCAAAATGTATATACATATATATCCAACTAAAAGTTTTGCATTGAGAAGACTATATAGCTTATATAAGCGAATTTTTGTTTTGATCAGTACATGTGAGGAATCTGTCACTTTGGTATGCAATATGAGCAAACATATGGTATGCACTATGGCTCCGAATGCCAACAGAAAAAACACAAAGCGTCTTGGTTCCCATATCAGCTAGAATGGTCATGAATCTGATGAGCTTATAATCGAAGACATACTGAAACTGTATGACAGGACCACACATGACATGTGTACCCATTATTACCACCACTATTAAATATCGTAACATAACAAAGTGTCAAATATTTGAATTTGAATATACTTTACACCCCGTAATGTAAGCCATTAGCATTAGAATATACTTCAACAAATAAAAGGGTTGAATATTTCAGCAATCTGAAATGGGAGTCCTAAGAAATATATTAAAAAAAAAAAAAGCCTGCGTTATGTAAACCACAAGCACGTATAACAGAGGAGCAGAACCATTGTTAAAATGTAAGTGTCTTCACTGCTGTTTTTGACGGAAGTAGCACTTTGTTAGGTCAATTCTCTATTACTATTTCACTACTACAATATTTGAAAACATTAGCTTTCTTAACTGGAATTCGGGCTCCATATCTAATATAAAATGCCATTAGTCTTGGACAACTTAAAAATGGGCCAGCATTTCCTTGATAGCTTCGTTTATACCCATCATATAGATGCTTAATGGGTTTTTTACTTGGTTAACACCCAATTAATCCTAACTAGGATTAGTGGCATCACATTATATATTTTAAAATTTTGGGAACTATAACTGGTTACAACCTGCAAGATATATCTTTTGGCACGGTAGCAGACGTGTTTAATTGGATTTATTAAATCCATCACAAATATAAGAGTGGATTGATGGTGAGACAAGTGTTATTTGAGAAGCTGACCATAACCATGCAATTTGATAAAGCCATTGTGTACGATAGTTCTGAAACCCCACTTCATTTTACAGAAATACATGTCTCATTCTAATTATCATCTACCATTATCATTAATAATTATTTATAAATATTATTAGCTAATTATCATATAAACAAATCAATTTTATCATTTTAGCGTGTTTTGCTAATGTTACTTGCACTCTGCATTAATATTATATACAATAACATGCTCGATGCTAGGACTAACTAGAACTTTTTTACAAACCCAATCCAACACACACCAGTCATAATCGGTTGGAATTTTATTTTATTCAGAAAGTAAGCTGAACCGCGGGCAGCCCAAAAAAAGACTTATTATTTGGCATTTCTGAATGGAAATTTGGTAAATCTTCAAAAAAGAATAAAAAAAAAAAACTAGAATCTGATATATTTGAAGACACAACAACGCAATCCGACAATAACCTACTCATCTAGAAAAAAGAGGAAATCAAATCCTCTTCACAGAACGACTACCACAATTGTACTTTTGAGGAAGGTTATCTAAAACTATACAGAGATACTAAGCTGAGAATCTTCGTTTTGCTGTCAAAACTGCCATTCCCACATTCAGTGAATTGCCAAAATCTGAATAAATTTATTACCAGTATTGTACGCGGGAACCTCGGGCAACATACTTAGTTGACCATCACCTTAAGACATTCACGAATGCCATCAACGAATCGACATCCCTCTTTTCCGAAGGATACTTAATTGGCCGAGAAGAGTGTTTGGGGAAGAGAAGTATTGTGGGGAAGCTTCCCAGCTCCAGTTCACTCTTTGCAAATTCTTTATGCTCCCCATCCGCTCTAAATTTTCCAACCTTCACACCTGACCCTGATAACTTCTCTGCCAAATCAAGATACGATTCCTCCATAGCCTGTTCGAATTAGAATAAACATCTTATTAGAGAATGAAAATTTCAGGCCAAATGAACCTTAGTGAGATTACCTTAACAGAATATAGAAGTTCAAGGAATATTATTTTACCTGACAGAAGCGGCACCATGGTGCATAGAGCACGACAAGCCAGGGTTCTTTTCGGTTCTCCAATTTTGCCAAATTCTCCATTCCAGTCCTGCTCAAGCTGACCACATTTTCGGTGTTGAAAATGTCAGTGACTGTGGCAGAGCCATTTGCATGGGCGGCCCCATTTCCATTAGGCTGGGCAGCATCTTCTTGTTTTATATTACCTTTGTGCAGACCACACTCCTTAGCTTTGGCATCCTCCCACCACCACCTTCCCTCCCTTTCATGCTGTCCAGGTAAAACTGGCCTTGTGCATGGCTCACAACCAATTGAAACGTATCCTTGGGAATGCAAAGAATTAACAGGCACATTCATGGTCCTAAGGAAGTTCCATATGTCATGACCATTCACATTTGCAACCGGGTTCCACTTTACCAGGCTACCAATTCCACCATCCAATCCCTCAAAAACTGGATCCACCTGAACAACAGGTATTTCAGACCTAGTACCAGGTGACTGATCTTTTCTCTGTCCAGTTATCCATGCTCTGAGACCCTTAAGGGCCCTCCTTAAGGGCCTCACCTTCCTTACCCGGCAGCACTCTTGATGCCCATCCTCATAAAATGAGAAGAGCCCTTTAGTTCTTACTAATGCCTGAACCTCAACCGTATCAGGGAACATGTACTCAATGTGAATTCCATAATGCTTCTCAACTGCGTCAAAAAATTTGTAAGTTTCTGGATTCAGTCTCCCAGTGTCCAGACTGAACACCCTGTAGGGTCGACCCGTCAAATGTGCATACTCAATTAAAGCAACATCTTCAGCACCACTGCAAAGGCAAAGACGCTCATTAAAATCCAAATCCAGAAAGATAACACATAGTTACAAATCCCCACTAAAGATCTACACGCACTTAGCACAGAAATGTAGCACAAAGCAACCAGAAGAAGTGAGTCACACTACATAACAAAAAAGGAACAGCTTTTAATTCTCAACTACATTTCATTGGTCTTATAGATAGGAATGAATATGCTCTATCCTCACATCAATTTTCTTATTTGATTTTGTAATTTCAGTGAAGCACAAAAATATTTGACAAAAGTACAGTCCATAATTTTTTTTAAAAAAAAGTAACATTTTCCAAGAGAAAGTAAGAAATGACTTTTCTCATTTTTAGCCTACGCCACCATGTATTAGAAGCTAACATTGCAAGGAAGATCATTCATGAACATGACAGACGAAAGTGGAAACTGCTGATTTGACCCACACCGATAATTTTGGCCAAAACAAAAAGAAAAAAAAAAAAAACTACGCTTGAAGGCGTTAATCAACAGGAATATTCACGTGCTCATGCAAATCCGACATAAATAAAATATCACGCAACAAAATCATTTAAATGTAATTTAAGAAATCTACCTGAAGGCAATAGCGATGTCGTTGCCAAATTTCTCCAGGGCCTTATCCATTATTTCAAGAGGAGAAGCATTTTCAAGGTCTCTGGCTAATTGTTCATAATCTTCCTCTTCCTTCTCAGTAACCTCTGCAAATCCAGCAGCATCACACACCATAAAAACAAATTTATAACACGCTTGAATTGCCTCCAATTTAAGGGTAACGAAAAAATTCCCTTACAATAACATAACACAGCAGGAAACGTACCAGGAGCAACGATAGTTGCTGCAAGAGGAACAAGAGAGTCCTTCCGTTGGGGTTCAGCGTTCAGAGGCCTCACAATGTTCCGTGTTTGAGTCAAATTAACAACGCCAGAGGAAACATGAGGTCTCTCCGAAATCCGAAATGAACCAATTTGGGGAGCTGAAAACAGAAAGAAGAAAACTCACACATTAAACAAACCCTCCAATATCAAAAGTCACACCTGAAAAAGCGATAAATTCTTTTTTTTCCCTCCGAATGAGGAAAAGGGATAATCAAACCTTTGGGTTCCGACGAAGATCGGAGACGTGAGAAGAATGAACTTGATGTTACTGTTGAAGAGGAAGAAGAAGAAGTAACAGAGAGGGCCATTGAAGAATGAATCTAAGCTCTGTAAATGCTGGTGTAAAATCTTTAGGTTCTTCTCTTGAATAAGAGAGAGAAATGAGGTTTGTAATATAAAGAACTGCAATGTGAGACGAGCTTTCTGGTTCATTGAACCTGGACACAATTCCAGCAACCCCCGTTTTGCTTACGTGGCACGCGGCCGTTGGATGAAAGGAAACCTGTGGCGCGTGGCCTCCGGAATCTTGGCCAACTTGGGAAATGTCATCTTCCTCGATAGTTCTCTTTCTTTTCTTTTCTTTCTTTTTATAAATTATTTCCTTTTTCTTTTTTTTTTATTAAAAAAATATACCATATGTAATAGCTTAGGTAAGCATTGATATTCAATTCGCATTAAAGTTTCTCTATTAACTTCTTTTGTTTCATCTATCTATAGAATTCTCAGTTTAAAAGATTATCTACAGAGTTTAGTTAAAATTTTCAAAATGTTTATGATTTTTAAATGGTTCAAGATTAGGTGGTAGTTACAGTTTGTTTGAATACAATTTAAAGAAAAGATAATTCTCCTCTAAGTGAAAAGTAGTTGAATATCCAAGTAATCATAATTGCAAGTAAAATACTAGTTTTGTTATTTTATTCTTTCTTTATGTTATATTTTTAATTGAATTATATTAATACCTTAAGAATTACCAAAATATGAAAGTATAGATTGGAGTGCCGTATTGTTATTAATCACCTGCTTTTGAATTTCTATTTTGACTTGAATCTAGGAAAGTTTCATCAGCATGAATAAGTATTGTTAAACTATTATTAAACTTTAGTTTTGGTTGTGATGATGACCGTACGTTACAATCAAATTAACCTCTTAAAATTAATGGTGATGATAACATTTCTAGATTATCAAAAATACATATTTGTGATAAATAAATTAAATTCCAGACTAAATTGTGTTCATGGCTGCTGCCAAATTCTGGGCTCTTTCACTCATTAGGAGTTTTTATTTCTTTAATTTATCAATCTGGTATTTGGTTTAAGGTATTTACGAATGGAGGTCATTTAGTGACGCGAGGAGGACACAGCGACACTGAGTGCCGGTACCATCCCCTCGTGTCACTCTCACTTTTTTTTTTTTTTTTACTTTTTTCTATTGAGTGCCGCCCCCCTCTCCTGGGGCACTCACAGAATTGTGCCAAGTGGGTTACTCCTATTATCGTAAAACTTTGAAAAGCCATAACTTTTGTCTCGGGTATTCAAATAAGATGATTTTTTTTTATTTCACATAACTTTTCGAGATCTACGCAATGACATCTCATTTGATATATTTTATCTTTCATTAATATAGTTCAAATTTGCAACACTAATTACACTTTTTTACATATTTGAATTATGTTTGTGAGATATAAAATATGTTAAATGAGATGTCATTACGTAGATCTCGAAAAGTTATGTAAAAAAAAAAATCATCTGATTTGGATACCCGAATCAAAAGTTATGATTTTCCGAAGTTTTACGGTAATAAGAGTAATCTATGAGTGCCCCAGGAGAAGGGTGCGGCACTCAATAGAAAAAAAGTAAAAAAAAAAAAGAAAAAAAAGTGAGAGTGACGCGAGGGGACGGTAGCGGCACTCAGTGACGCTGGGTCCCCCTCGCGTCACTAAATGACCCCATTCGTACCTTGAACCAAATACCAAATTGATAATTAAAATCACAAAAAAAAACCCCAATTGGTCAAAGAGCCCAAATGCTGGTCTTTTCTTTTTTTAAAAAAAAAAATTAATTAAAAATATATTTTAAATTTTTTATGATAATTAAATAAGCTTTTTAATAAATAAATAAAAACAAAAAACAAAAAATATATTTTCATGTTCTTTAATTAAAAAAATGTAATTTGTAAAAAATTCTAAAAAAAAAGTATATCACAAAATAATTTTTTTTCAATGTGTATACAGTATACACCATACATATTATGTGCCCTTCTGTTTCGGTATTATTCTCCTTTCTTTGTAATTTTCCTGGTGTTCCCATCCGTTTTTATTCCAACTTGGTCCCTATTAACTTTTCTTCAAAACTTGTGAGCACATGGTCCTTGAGCCACAATTTTTATTTTTTTATCCCTGAGATTTTATGTTGCTCTAGTTCATTGATCCCCCACCATCCTCGTTTTTTCCCTTCATTTTCTAATGACAGAATCAATTTTGTGCGTTAGCTTTTTCTTTTTTTTTTAATTTATTTGTGCGATCACTACTTGAATTGAACGCATAGTGAATTCAAGCCACCAGGTAGCTATAAAAAAGATACGATAATCAATATGAGGCTGCAAAGCAAAGGGAGCAATACCCTTGGAAAATGACGGGAAGATGGTCATTTCAGACAAATCTACAGCGAATTCATAATCTGAAGATGTCATTGGTCCTCTTTAGTACGTGAAAATTTAATGCATCATTTGTTATGGTATGATTGAGGTTGGAAGGACTCATCAAAATCATTGATGAATCTCTTGTTAATCGTGGAATATACTCTACGGCAATAAAAGGTGCTAAGATGCTCTAATAAAGCAAATTTCAAATTGAATGAGTAACTCGCCTATCCCTAAAACGGATAATGTAAATCATCATAACTGGTCCAACCAAATAAGTTCTCAACTCGCAATGGTACCCTCGTAGAATGGGTGAATAAACTGGTGATTGAAGAAGCCAATAGTTTAGAATTGGTCTAAAAAAAGTAGATCTTTTGACACCAGTGTCAAATTTGAAATTTAACACTTCATCTGAGAGCTATTAGATAAAAAAAGATCAATGGTGTTAGATGCCTACAAATCAGAGTCGTTGATATTTTTTGATTTAATGGCTCTCAGATTTTGACACCGTATCAAAGGATCCTACCTCCTAAAAAAAATTAAAATTAGTCACAACTTTTTTTTTTCTGTTTGTGCACATTATTCTTCAGATTAAGGAGCTGCACGAGATTGGAGGGAGCATTCATTTAAGTTTTTTTTGTCAAATTATTAGGTAATGTGAAAAGACTTTTACCCTGCAGTGTGTGTTAAGACGCGCATGGGTGAGAGTCACATCTTATGTGACCACACACTAGCATTAAGAGGCTGTTTAGATGAGCTTTTTTTCCTTCAAAAGTTGCTTTTTTAAAAGAAAAAAAAGCACTTCTCGTTTTTAGTTCGTTTGGATGTCTGTTTTTAAAAAAATGAGAATTCACAAAAAAAGCTAAAAACCTACTTTTTCAGAAGCTAAAATTTTTAACTTCTAAGAAAAGCAAAAGTCAAAAGGCAAATATTTTTTTCAAAAACTAAATATTTTTATAAAAATATAAATAACTTTAACTTTTGTAAAAAGTATTTTTAAAATAAGGAAGTGATAAAAATTACTTTTTTTAAAAGCCGAAACAAACGACCTCGAAGGAACCAGCAAGATGAGCCAAAGCCAAAACAATTTAACTGGTGCCCACCATTAAATTTTAGAGTAAACACCCTTTTTAGTCCCTGTCAATATCTACGAAGTCCTTTTTAGTCCCTGGCAATAAAAAAGGACCAAATTGGTCCCTGAAATTACAAAAAAAGGGTCATGTTAGTCCTTATGTCAACTCCCAAATATGTAGAGTGACCCTTTTCTTGTACTTTCAGGGACCAATTTGGTCCTTTTTTATTGTCAGAGACTGAAAAAGACTTCGTAGATATTGTCAGGGACTAAAAAAGATGTTTACTCTAAATTTTATCCCTTTAATTTAACTACGATTATTTACTCACATCTAAAATGTGATTAATTTTTAAAATTCAGCCAGGGCCTTATAGTCTCCACCACTATAGAGAGGGACATGCATGATCACTACCACAGTAGAAGACAGGAACATACATGTCAGTTTTTTGATCAGATATGAGTCTTTGACCTTTAAATGTACCAATTTGATATTTGATTGAAATATATTACTATTTGGGATTTTCAAGTTCCGTGAGGGGCAGCGGATCTAAATTCCCAATACTACTTTTATGGGAATCTAAAAAAAACTCCTCTACCAAACATCGTCTTTATAAGTCATCCATTAAAAAAAAGTGATAACTACGTGATCACATAATAGCTGAACTTGGAGGAACTTCGGTCAAATACATAACGGAAAACACACTTGACGTGAAATATTCAGTTGGTGAACTTATAGTTCTTCCCTTGACACAAGTAGCACACTAGAATCCACGCAACACAAAGGACTTAGTAATCGAACATTGTAGAGTAGAGCTGATACCCAGTCAACTTTTCTACATGCTGCACTTGACACTACTATTTTTTAAATCGTAATACCTTGTACATGTGGCCCAGGTGCATGATGCACTACAAATCTGTTTGCTTTCCTTCTAGTTTTACCAGGCTCGGGAAAAAAAAAAAGGAAAAATTGGATGATGTTGGCTTATGATATTAGAAGCAATAGAACACTTGAATCCTCAGACATCCTGCGGCAATTCATGAAATCTCGCTTTAAGAATTCAAGCAGTCAAAAAATAAACAGCCTCAGGTTCTTTCTTCAGAAAATTCAGCTGGTGAGTAGGACAGACTGGAATTAGTTTTCTGTCCAGAAACAGAAATGCATTTCTTCTGAAACGAAACTTTAAGTAGCAGTGCAGCTCAGACCTGAAAATTTTGGTCTAACCCGATTTTGTAACCATAACAGTTCAAGATCAAAACCAATTAACCAAACAATTTTATTGGTGGGTAAAGGAAATAACACATGACTACCTGATTTCTCCTTTTCCACAGGTGAGACCTTTCTGGATTCCTCTTGTTGCCCTTTCTTCTTTACCTCACGCGAGTTCGTTCTATTTTTATTGGTTGGTCCTTCCTTTGTGAACAGATAACTATATTTCTCCAGCACCCTCTCTTTCTCTTTAACTACGCCTAACATCTCATATGCATTTGCCACTTTCTGAATGATAGATTTATCCCGAGGTTTACGATCAAAAGCTTCCAGTCCCTTAAAAAGCTTATTACCAAAAGCACAAGAACATGAAACAAAGGTTAAATCTAACAAAAAGTTTATAAAACTATCAAACAAAAAGAGTACGGAAGCAATCCCAATATTACCTATGGTAGTACAACAATCCGCAAGCTGACAACACCCAATCAATTGAGATAAGAAAATTATTTGATTTTTCCCTTAACAGAAATGACTGGATAAAAAAGTCAATGCTGTTCTTTTTTTTTTTTGGGTATACCGAATCTAATTACTTCTTTGAGGCGAGTTGACCTCCCGAATATCCCCACAAACTTCAACTCTTTGAGTATGAGACTAATCCCGAGTTGGGGTTTAGTCATAGTTGAAATCCCCAAAGATATATTTGGTGGGAATCGAACCCGAGTTCTCTCCCCAACTACTCAACATGGGTTGTCAACTGAGCTACACTCATTGGGTCAACACTGTTCTTTTATATTCAAATAATAATCATTATTCATTAATGCTACACAATTTATTTTTTTCCTCTGACATTAATCAAATTCAACATAGATTCTACTTTTCAATAGTTACAATTTCATATAAGTCAAGATTTTGATAATTAGAATTTTGGGGGAAAAGAGTGCATTACAGTACAAATAGTGAAACTCCAACTAAAGGTTACCAGTAACTACGTTTGAAGGACACTGCAAGTAATATTTTTGTATTATGTAAGCTCTCATCAGCTGCATCTATAATTTTTATTTTCAATATGAACCTTTTCAATAAATGAAGATCATTATCATTTTGTTGCTACTGAAAGAGATTTATCTCATCAAACAATCCATTGAGTATAGCATAACCAAAAGGAACAAAACCGGGACATTTTAGAAGGGTTAACACATATTACAGATTAATATTTGCATGCAACAACAACAATAACCAAGCTTCATTCTACTACGTGAGGTCAGCAGTTGGCTACGTGGATCAATCGACAACATTGGAACTGAATCTATAAAAAAACCAAAATATCCTTATTCTACTATTAGGGGAAAATATGCTATGAAGCACCGATACTTCTTAATTTTTTTTTTCAACGTATCGGATACGCGTATCGGACACGTATCCTTTGGTAATTGACATCCTATATCATCGAGAACGTATCGAAAAAGCGTATCGGTGCTTCATAGAAAATATGTACATAACAATGAAACTGCCATCAGTTCAAGCACATTGAAAACTTAAATCGGCATCACTCATCAGAAATATAAAAGAAATATCACAATGGAAAGCTTACCCCAATAAGATCTTCCAGCATGTTGTTTCGATAATATACTGATATCATGAGATGGCACAACTGCCAAGGAACTGAATGTAAATCAGTCCCAATTTTCATTTCCCAGAATTTCTGTGCTTCCCCCACTCTATGGTCCATATCTAAAGCTCGTATCAATTGACCATATGTTCCCATTGTGGTCCCCTGCCCCTTGCTCAGCATCCATTTAATTACCTTGAAGAGGAATAGGTTATAAAGCACCAGATTAATTTACTTAATAATACTGAGGTCAACTGATATTCCACTCTGGACTTTCTTTTTTCCCAAAAATTAAAAAAGTAAATTGGTCCCGAAAATCTTTATCTATTCCAAACTCACAATACACCCTAAAACAACACGCAAACAGATCAGGTCAAAAATTCAAGAGATGGCACAGAAAAACTATCAAATTATAACTTTATCAGCAAAACAAAGAAGGGAATAAAATTGGCAAAGTTTTTTGAACAAAAAAAGTAGCTGGTCATTGGGATATATAAATTGAGCTTTATGAAATCGATAAACTCCATAGCACGACATCTTTTATTTTTTAAAACTTAAAAGTACTAAATAACAATCTAACCAACCAACAGAAGAGTATGAAAAGAAAGATACATATTAAACGTTAAATTGCTTGATGTTGGCAATTGACTTGTTAGAATACATGCACTTCCATCACCAGAGTTAGACTCATTAAAAGTTTGTAATCTTTTTCAGAGTCTTTGGCTTTTTTGTAACTGTATTAACTAGTAAGCCTATGTTATCCAATTCCATTTCATTTGTTGCAATCCATCCCTGTCATACTCATTTTCGTTCTCATTTTGACAAAAATAATGCATAAGAAGAAGAAGAATGAAACAGTGGTCAAACCTGAACAACCCTATGCCACTGCTGCTCCTTTTCAAGAGCATTCAATATCGTTTTTAATGAGGCGATGGGAAAATTTTTCTCCCAGGCAACCCAGGCATCAAGAGCACCATAAATAGCCTCCTTGCTGTCGTTGAGATCAAGAAGCTGCGTTATTTGGTTCAAACCAACAAATTCACAAAAATAAATAAATAAAATCAGATATTGACCAGGTTTTAAAGCACCAATGTGATACATATTATTGTACTTACTGTAGTGAGAAGATACTTGTTCTTGTCTTTTCTAGATACATTTTCCCCAATATAATTCTTTGGTATCTCTCCAGCGTTGTGATAAGGAGGATGAAGTTTTGTCTGCGAGGCAAATTAATCAAACAATGTATGGCATAAAAAATAACTGTGAATGTTATATATACCTGTGGCTTTGAAGTCGTCAAATCGGGTGGAGGAGGAGGCGACATTAGACTGTAACAGCAACGCCCATGCTTAACCTCGACATTACTTACTTTTAATTTACTCAATCTACCAACCTAAGTACAAAGCAACATCAATATTCTAAGAAATGGAGCTTCAACAGCTACGAGATATAGAGAGAGAGACTCACGAGGTAAGAGATTCGAGGTGACCTCCACATGGTTGTTGATGGTAAGGGATGTTCCTTACCGAAATCAATCAAATTTTCAAAGCTTCAATCGCAATTCAGCTCAATTTCTATTCTGTACACACAAAGTTCGTTGCTTCCAGTTCTGATCTGAACTGGAGCCCCATCTTCCCCCCCCCCCCTTTTTCTTTTTCTCTCGTTTGTTCATCTCCACATATTGGGCCCGATCAGTATAACTATCTATATGGGCCATCATAATCCCTGTCTTTGCGGCCTCTATTCACCCTTATAATATAGGGTTTTACTTATAGATAAATAATTTTTGAGATATATTTTTCTTATGTTGTAGGAAAAAAATTACCTTATGTTGTAGAAACAAAAGTATAAGTGGGACCCACATGTAAGAGGAGAGAGAAAAAAAAAGTGGTGGGACCCAACCCTTTTTGTGTGTGTAGGAGAGATGTTTATCTCATGTAAAATGAGATAAACATAACCCATAATTTTTTTATACACGTAAAAGAGGGTGGGTTTTATCTTTTTTTCTCTCTCTCCTCTTATATGTAGATCCTACTTATAGTTTTATTTGTATAACATGAGATAATTATTTTCTTACAACATAATAAAATTATTTTTTAAACCCTAAAAATATATATATATCATTTTAAATGACACAAATTTATGTAATTTTAAGTAAAATAATTGTATTTTAGCACATATTTGTTGGTTTTATAAACTCTCTCTCCTCAACAAAATTAAGAGTGAAGAGAAAGAAAAAGTATTCTAGATAAGAGAGAATATAAAAAATAACAAATATGCACACAAATATGATTATTATATTTAAAATGACACAAAATTATGTCTTTTAAAATAAAAATAAATTTTCAAGTATATTTTTAAGATTATATCTGAATTAAGCAGTGCTCCGTCGTGATTTTAAAGCAAGAAAATACTTTTTGTCATACAAGTTCTCAAGGGGAGCTTGTGGCGGGGGATCATCACTAACGGGTTAAGCTATATAGAACATACCAAGTGAATCCGACAATATGTCACAACCGAAAGTCTTTAAGGTTTAGGGTTGAGATGTGGAGTCGGACTCACTCGGTACGATTGGTTTACCTTAACCCATTGGTGATGTCCCTCATCATAGATTTTTCTTGGATCCGCCTGACAATGATATCAGAGTTGTGTTGGACTCAAGCTAACTAGTTGCCCTAAACTCGCCTGACAATGATAATTTATCTTCTACATACTTTAATTGTGTTGAGCCTAATTTTTCTTTCTCTTTCATGATGCCATATATTTTTATGTATATGTAAAAATTAATTTTATCTGTATCAAAAATTTTAAATCCACAAAACATATACTCCTTATCTAACCCATTCTGTGTTAATCGGTCGAGTCTGCTGGGCCTAGCTCACGTTTTCTTTGTTAGAAGTCGATTCTATGGTATTATTTTGGACTTGTCAAACCTAACTAATTTTTTATTTAATATGTAATTTCTATAAGTTTAAAGTGCGTAAATTTTATTACCCAGTCTATCCATTTGACGTAGAGTTTGTAAATTGTAATATTTAAAATGATAATCCGTACTCACATTTTGAAATAGAATATTAAAATTAAGGGAAATCGTTTGGTCATGTTATTGGAAATCCACTGTTGTTTTCTGCAGACACATCAATACTTGTGTATCACTTTTTTATTTTTTATTTTTTTATAAAAATTGATGGGACCCACTTGTAATGGGAGGGTGACATGATGGAAGCTCAATCCTGTGACATAATATTCATGAATCTCTAAAATTAATCGCTTAAAATATTTGTTTGGAATGGAAAATCAGCGGAGATGTCGATGTAGTTGAATGCCATAATATGTTGACAGTGCTTTGACACCTAAATTTATACCTTTTAGTGAGGAGGTGATGTAACATTGTAACACATGTTACTACAAGTAAATTTATTTTAAGACAAATTAAAATAAGGAAAAACATTTATTCTTTTAAATGATATATTTTGTGTATGTGTTATTTTACTTTTATAAAGCGTGAGACTCACATCTTTATTTTTTTGTTCATTCTCTCTTTCATAATTTATCTTTTTCTCTCACTTAAAATGATGTAATTTTACATCCTTTAAAATGACACACATATTTTCAATAAAAAATGACACATGTTATTAAAACAAACTTCTTTTTAGGGAGCGTTTGGTAGAGGGGAAATTTTTTTAAATCCAGGAAATAATTATTACTGAAATATAGTGGGAAATATATATTTTCTGGAATATTAGTAAAAAGTGTTTGGTATGGTAAAATTTTCCCGGGAATTTATTATTAATTTTACTGAATATGTGTTTGGTTAGTTATGAAATATTAGTGGAAAAGAGATGTTATTTTACGAAATTAACCTCATGTTTACGTTTTTTTAGACAAAGAAAAGGGTTTGGTGTGAGATACATTCATTAAGAAAGAGATAGTTTTGAAATAAGGTGATCGGTAAAATTTGTGAACCTGTCGTTGCATGGAGGCCGCCTTTGTTCTTTCTTCAGGTTCGGTGATTGTTTCTTTTTCTACTCAATTTACTTTTCTTTCTTTTTCTCATTTTTGTAAATACTTTTTGGTTTGTCAATCCATCTATTATTTTGGTTTACTGTTACCATTTCTTTCGCTGGTTGTCTTATCAAAGTGAGTGTGGGTTGCTGTTTATCTTCCTCAATTGGGTTTCTTTACTCCCTCAAAGTTTCAGTTGCAGGATAATTTCGTAAATATTCGCACGCCTCATTTTCTGTTTTCCCGGTAGCGAAAGAGTTCTATCCTATGAATGGAGTTTCAGATTTGTAAAATGTACTGTACATTGCACATGAGAAGCTTTGCTGGGATAATTTTTAACACTGGATTTTTTTCATTTTCTGTGAACCAAACATGGGATTCTTTGATGTCATAGCATGCAATCCCAGGGAAAATAAAAAAATCCAGATACCAAACGCCCGCTAAGGAAAAATTAAATTAAAAGTAACACGTGGTGTTATGTGAGAAAATAAATATATTTTTATTTAATAATTTGAGTTGGATCATGACCAACTCATGGCTCGTATTAATTAAATGTAATTTGTCGAGAACATAGATTACCAATCAAGAAATTATTCCTTATAATCCATTATTTTTTCGTGAAGCTCTACCTACTCTCTGTGCTTAAAAATTAAAATATCATATGCCCGTATTTAAAAAAAAAAAAAAAAAAGCAAAAAAATGTTATCGTGATAGGAGAAAACTTTTGGTACAGCGGCATACCTATATCCATATTAAAAGAAAAGAAAAATTGAGACTTAATGAGAAATATAAAAATAAAAATAAAAAACAGGAATTAAAATGAAAAAAAAATTTATTTAATAAAATAAAGTATCGAGTTCGATACTTCTATTGTATCGAAGAAATTTTCAGAAGGTGAATTCTGATCAGATACTTGCTCGAAAATAATATTTTTTAAAAGATAATATTAAAAAGAAACATTTCAGTACATCTTTTTATATTTTTTTCGAACAAATGAAGTGTAAAATTTATGTAAGATATCACTGTGAATATTATTACATAAGTAAAATAAAATAGAATTTATTTTTTTAATTTTATTTTTCTAAATTTTAAATTTTTCGCTGTTTTCTTTAAATAATTATTACATAATGAAACTAACATAACATTTTTTACAAGATTATTCTTATCAACATCATAATAAACTAATTCTATTAAAAATATAATTAATTTTTTTATTACATCATAAAGATTTTTTTTGTCAACATAGTATTAAAAATATAATATTAATTTAACATTTTTAAAAAATTAAAAAATGAATTCATATCAAAGAAAGATAATATACTTTTAATCTTTTTATTAAATAAAAAAGCATTAAGTGTCCCGAAACCATTCTAGTGACGTGTCTAACTATCAGGGATGGCCGAAGAGCAATGCTAAATTGACATCATCACTCAAGTACTCCTTCCTCCCCTCCATTACCATATCCGCAACTCCGTCCATGTACACAACTTATAGGCGGTCGCCACGTGGACAACACAAGTGACAGTCTGTTCCGTTATCACTATCTCACTCAGATTATTTATGATTGCTTCAACAAAAACGCCATCGTGTTTGTCGCTCTTTCTCTTGCATTCTTCGTCACTCTCACTGGTTAGTTAGTTACTCCTCTCTCTCTCTCTCTCTAGAAAGGGTTTTTTTTTTCTCTGTTTGGTGTTTGCTTGCTCTGGTTCGATTTTATTCACACTCATCTATAACTGTTCCATTGTTAAGAATTTATTATTTGAATTTTATATTTTGTGATGTTAAATTCGGCTTGTGGATGGTGTTGCAGAAGCTTTTGAATATGGCTGAGGCTACACAATCTAATGCTGAGTTGTTTGAATGGCCAAAGGAAGATAGGCGCCGCTTCCTGCATGCTGTGTACCGCGTTGGTGATCTTGATCGCACCATCAAGTAAGATCTCGATGACTTGGTTGGATCGTTCACATGTACCGTTATGTGATGTGTGTTTAGATGCATAAAATTCCGTCACTGTTTCTGCCAGGTTTTACACTGAAGCTTTTGGAATGAAGCTTTTGAGGAAAAGAGATGTGCCGGAAGAAAAATACGCCAATGCTTTTCTTGGATTTGGACCTGAGCAATCCCATTTTGCTGTGGAATTAACATATAGTATGTTGCTCTGTCAACCTTGGTTCATATGTATATGTAGCTTTTCTTGTAATTCACTGATTATATTTACCTTTTGTGTTGGATTGAATTGGACATGAATTTTGATATTATTGTCAGATTATGGGGTGACCTCATATGATATTGGAACTGGCTTTGGACACTTTGCTATAGCAACTCCAGATGTAAGCCAAAAACAACCTTCACAGAACCTTGACCATCTATTTAGCCCTCCTGTATTGAAAATAAAGTGTGTGCCTCTTACACTTTTAGGTATACAAATTGGTTGAAGACATCCGTGCTAAGGGTGGAATCGTCACTAGGGAACCTGGTCCAGTTAAGGGTGGGTCATCTGTTATTGCCTTTGTGAAGGATCCTGATGGTTACATGTTTGAGCTCATCCAAAGAGCATCGACCCCTGAACCCTTGTGCCAAGTAATGCTTCGTGTTGGTGATTTAGAACGCTCAATTAAGTTTTATGAAAAGGTAACTATCCAAGTCAAAAAAAAATTCTTTTTCATGAGCTTGCATTTTAATGTAAACCATTTTCATTTCTATCAAAACTGATTTAGGTCGTTTGCGTATAACTCAGTTGTGCAAGTATTTATATCTGTCAACTTAAATTTTATTATTGTTGTTGTTATTCTTTGTTATTGTGTGCACAGGCCTTACTTTCTGCTGGTATTTTGATTATAGTACTTATTTGTAACAGCTCCCTAATATCAAAACAAAAGAATAATGTCCATCCGACGATATCCTGCCTTGATTATTCTCCATTAGTAAACTAGCAAAGCAATTCTTGGCCTGTGGGCTGAAGCAGTGGAATAATTTGAAAGTGTGTGTTCTGTCTGTATTCAGTACTTTTAGTCACATTCTATAAGGAAATCTTTCTTATTAATGTAAAAAGCACTTTCAGATTTGGTTTCTCATTAGTTCCATGGAATACTTGTTTGGGAACTGTGTTGTGTCATGAACCAACTTTCCCAATAGTTTGAGTTATTAGGTGAAGGTTCATGAATGATTTTTATGCCTATCATGCCATGAATGATTTTTATATATATTATGCCTTTTCATGCAAGAGCCCGTTGGGCTTGAAATATGGTCATTGCACAAGTCCACCTGCTTTATGCTAAAAAGCAATTGGTCATAGAGGCCATATTACCATATCATAAACCAACTATCTTAAATTGTGGTTTTCTTTTCATTTAGGCGACCACAGAAAGACCAAATTCCATCTTCTATTTTGTGTGGCATTGAGGATTTGGATTGGGAATCATGAGTTTTTGCTTGTGATCGACGCTAAAAATCATGACACTGCTTTTGTTATATTATTTTATAATTTTAAGTTTTATTTCTCAAACCAACTATGTTTATTAACGAAGGCTATGTTTTCATGGGACCATTTTTGTGTAGGCTTTGGGTTTGAAGGTAGTCAAGAGGGTCGATAGACCTGAATACAAGGTCAGTTTCCTTCTTAAATTGATCTTAGCAATCTACTTACTAGCCAGGACATATTTGATGCCTACGACATGACTTGCTTGTGCTTGTGATTTTCCTGAATTATGTTGCATATCCTACAGTACACTATTGCTATGCTTGGGTATGCAGAGGAGCATGAGACAATTGTGTTAGAGCTGACATATAACTATGGTGTCACTGAATACACTAAGGGAAATGCTTATGCACAGGTTAATTGATAAATTATATTTCCTTCTGGAAGCCCAAACTGGTTATCTTCACATCTCTGTACCCCTTGATGATGTAATTTGTGTGGTGTATATAACAGGTTGCTATTGGTACTGATGATGTATACAAGAGTGCTGAGGTAGTCAACATTGTCACACAAGAGCTTGGAGGGAAGATTACTCGGCAACCAGGGCCACTTCCTGGTCTCAACACAAAGATCACTGCTTTCCTAGATCCAGATGGCTGGAAAACTGTAAGTTTTTGTGTTGTTTTTGATTTTTTTTTTTAATTTCTTATTTTTATATTGAGTGAGGGTGTGAATTAGTTTCTATTTGTTTTATTATTGTATCATGAGTTGAAATAATAGGTGATTTATAATGTAGAACACATACGTATATGCTTATCCGAGGGCCTCTACAGCTGTAATTAGACGATACCATTTGTAGAGTCATAAATATTATGATGGAAAGGGGAGATATAAGAGGTTGCTTTAACTGAGCTCTCATGATTTTTTGATAACAGAACCTTTTATGCAGCTGAGGCTGCTTATGATACGAGCAAAACAATTGTTTCTAAAGAGCCGGTTGTAAATCAGTTATGAATGTGAAATGTAAAGCTGGAAGTTTTCACGGTATAAAGAAGAATGTTTAGCCTGAAAATAAAAAGAATGTGATGTTCAAACTTTTGTGACTTAGTATCATGGTGTTCATTCTGACTAGCGACTTAAACTGATCATAAATTTTGAATTTAAAAGAAGTTTCTGATGGTCGGAATAATGTTTGACTAGCTAATAAAAGGAGGATCTCGTGTCTCAACTTATTTTTATCTAATTGTTAAATTCAAATTGTTGCCATTAATGTTTTTTAATGTTTAGTATCTGACTATCTGTTATATAAATTGTGCTTTAGCATATGAAAGCATATTGAGGAATTAATATCTGTTATGCAAATGTGTATGAATTTTGTAGGTCTTGGTTGACAATGAAGATTTTCTGAAGGAACTGGAGTGAAGAGTGCTGGCTTTTTATGAAATATGAAGTTCTACTGCTATTGTATAAATAAGTTGTCTGGCTTGATGAGCATTCAGCATGTGTGTTTAGCTCTGTAATTGACTCAAATGCAGTTGAACCTCAATTTGAACGCTATCTTTACGAAGTGTTTGGTTGAGATTCTAAACTGTCTGTAGTAACATCTCACAACCAATTGCAACAGTATTTCAAGATCTTTAGCTAAAGAAGGAGAATTATTTCCAATATTTTGCAGCATAACCAAAATCAATTCCAGCCTAAGTGACCCTGGACTTGATTGTCCAATAAAATTAAGTCTGCCTATCTCAAAATATAAGGTTCCAGTTAATTCCATTTAATCAATTGAAATGACAATGACTCTACACCTTTCACCTATCTATCTTGCTCGTTTTTAGTATTTTAACATTATAAATGACTTTAACTTTATACTGTTCAAATTAAATTACACAAATATAATTTGTTGGAATTAAATAAAATTAAAAAATTTCAACATCTTTCTTTAATAACCAATTCTTTTTATTAAACATTACATCCTAAAAGGTACTAAATAGTATTTGGTAAATAGTGAGTCCGTTTGAGTAATGTTTTAAAACTCGGCTGGAAAAAGTTCACCAATCAAATCAATATTATACTGAAAAAACATTAATTTTCAGATATTACGTAGGTACACATATTATCATAAAGAATAAAATGGTATTTTGATTATTAAATATATAAATCACTAACGATTTAGTCTGATTTAAATATGGTGGTATATTTTAAAAAAATGACCATTAATAAATATAATTTTTTCAATAAAATAATACAAAAAGATATTGTAGAGAGCAAAATCAGTACGAGAATGAAGTTTTTTCTCGATTAAAAACATACAATTTGTTGAGTTTCTAAGTGATGAACTTGCCGTGAAAAAATTAGGAATTACGTAAGCGAGTTTGGTTCTGTCCCGTTGACATTAAAGACTAAGAAAAGAGAAAGGAAATAGTGAAGTTATTTTTACGAGAGAAACTATTTTTTTTTGGGGGGGGGGGGGGGGGGGAATTTGATATTCTGAACTGATTGATATTGCTCCTAACCCTAAGCTATATAAATTTTAGGATTTGTGACTTAGGATGAAAAATAGTCTATTAATACCACTAAGCATGTGAATTATTAGTACAATATATATATATTTATTTTATAAACCATAGATATCTTTCATAAGAGGTAATTCTATTAGGAGCGAGTCAATGATTGAAGCTTTAAATTTCTCCTAAATATGGTACCAGAGAAGGTGGAACACACTCTCACCCCTACATACTCAGCTCTCATGTACCAACTGAGCTACTATTATTTGGTAGTACACAATTATTTTAACCTAAATAGATGTTTTGAGTTGAATCCTAATAAACCGGTGGAGAAATTTAAAAAATAAATTAATAACCTACTGATTAACAGCACTGAAAATATTAAATTACATAAGAAGGCAAAAGGAATGAATCATGGATTGTAGCCTATATTGACAGTTCTATAAACAAATAATGGTATTGTAATATAGAATAAATACTATAAACATGTAACATTGAAAATAAAATGTTAGTTTCAATCTCTTTCCTTTTCTACTATAAAATAAAATAATTATTTTATTGATATTTATAAACATGAAAATTTTAAAATATAAACTTTCAACTGAAATTTCAGCAGTTCTTTTTTTTTTCTTTGCTTAATGGATTGTGATTAAACAGTCCAAACACGGGTTTTAAAACAACGCAATGATTTCTGGATTTGTTAGAAACTTGATGCGTCGCTCTCTGAAACCGGCAAAGAACTAACATTGACAAGAATGCGTAAGTAGAAAACTGTAATGACTGGAATTTCACATTTCTAAAGTTAAGAAAATATTACTGGTCATCAATCAATAGCATGAAGTATTTTAATTAACTTGTTTAAAATTAGAACTGCATCCGCAGAATAACAACCAATAACACGAAGAAATTTCGTGAACTCAAGTTGAAAAACACAAAAATGTGACCATGTCATCCACAATGGTTAAACCCACCACAAATAAGATACCGGTTTTATTATACCTTTGGCTAATCTATAGCGAGGATAGCACGGATTTATTGATTTATGATTATGCAAAGATGTAACGCAGGAATTTTAAGAATTTAATGCATCGTACAACTGATAAAGAAAAATCAGTTTAACTTTGGGGAGCAAAGATGTCTAACATTGGTACAACTTTCATAAAAACAAATTATGATATTTTGCCTGATAAGGTAGTAGCAACAGTTAGACCCCATAATTTGAAATGCTCAAAAGAGTAGTGAGATCGAATTATGAGAATTGCAATTCCTAGAGAGTACGAAGAGGCACAAATCCAAAACCGAATTAGTTTGATACCGGTTGATATTAAAAAAATAAAATAAAAATGTAGTACCAACAACACATTATAGAATTAGTTAGGTTATCATGTCTCACATCACAAAAACAATAAGTTAAATATCATACCCTATTTATGTTCAAGAAATCATTTTCGTTCCCTTTGGCGATAAGACAATATTCCTGTCTAACATGTAATGTGTGCTGCATTTCATATGTTGTATTTGCTATTCTTTTCTTGTTTGAAATTGCTAAGCCAATTGATAACAGGCATAAAATTCAATTCGAGGGACCTTTTGCATTAGTCTCTCTGAATGCAACTCAATGCATGAACCACCAAGGTTGACAAGATTTTGTTAATTATAAATCTGTAAAGTTACAAGAATTTCAAATTTCTAAATTTTTTTTTTTTTTTTTTTGTAAATAAAATTTCTAAAGTTAAGCGAGTTAGCATGGGTCGCAATTGTCTTTTCAGAAGTAGATCTTTATTTTTGGTACAAGGTCTTCTCAATTCATATCATTTTCTAATGAAAGCGATCCAATTGACATTGATATATAAATTATAGGATCCACAGTGCCTGATAGCAACTTAATAAAAATGAACTAGAGTTATATTTGTTAAAAATAGATAACATAAAGATGAAGATAGAATCAATTAACTTCTGCAACATTTATTGAATGACTGATAGCCTATATGTAGGATGTACTATGACGGGAATAAACAGTAAGATAAAACAAACTTTTAACAAACTAGATTATGCTCCTACTTCTTGCTAACGTTTAGGACTAGGATTAATAAAATGGGCCAACTCGGATCAACTCGCATATAACTCGAAAATAGACGTCGGTTTAGGGTTGGCTAAAAAACAAAAATAAACTAGAAAACTCAACCCAACTGGATCCGAGTTGGGTTAGGGTTGGCTCGCGGGTTGGCTCAAGAATATAACTCGTGGGTTGGCTTGAAAAAATAGCTCGCGAGTTGGCTCGCGGATTGGCTCGAAAATTGTTCGCGGGTTGGCTCAAAAATTACTCGCGGGTTGACTCGTTTTCAGCCTATTTAAATGAACCTGTAGTATTAATGTATCATCTATGTAATGTATCCATTAGCCTAGTGGTGTGGAGTGTGTGTTAGGTGTGTGTAGTGTAGTGGTATGTGTTCAATTCCCATGTAATGCAAAAAAAAAATGTATCATCTATGTAGCTTCCATAAGCTTAAATAAAGAATTACAAAATGAGAAATAAAAGCAAAATATTCTAGTTTCGAATTTTCTTCACAACAAATTTGCACCAACATCTAGAAACAATCAGAACCACTTGCTACCAAATGGGTAAGATATTTGAACCAAACAGAGCCAGCATATCCTAACAATATAAAAATTGTAGGGATGTGAAAAGATTAGGGACTTAGATTTAGAGAAGGAAGAAAGACGATGACAGCATGTGTGAATTTTGTTCATTTTTGTATTTTATATTTTGTATTTTTTTATAAATAAAAAAATCTCAACCCGCGAACTATCCCTTTTGACCTGCGGGTTGGCTCTTTTTTTCCGAGCTGGCTCGGGTCGAGTTGACAGCTCATTTTTGCCAACCCAAACCGGCTCATTCTTGACGGGTTACAAGCCAACCCGACGGGTTAGTTCGCTTTTGCCTACCCTATTTAAGACCCACCAATGACTAAACTTCAGGAACTAAATTTTCTGATTGAACATGTCAAACAACTAATTATTTATTGGAACCATAAAATATCTAACTCCTAACAATATTTATAGTGACTTGGTCATTTATTTATGGGTTCATCTTGCATGAAAGAAGATCTCTCATTATAGACACACATATAGTAGGGCTCGCTATTTAAAAAAAGAAAAGAAAAACAAGTGTCATGATTTTCTATGAATCTACTGGAAAAGAACTACACTTATATTGCATAAAATTAATTTTTCCCTTTATTTATTTGCCATAAATGAATAGAGTCACTTTATATACTCCGTTGACTGAGAAGATAAGTTCCTACTTCAATTCCTTTACTACAAACGGGTCTAAAATGTAAATAATTGGTCTAAGATCAAAAGCCATGACCACCATCTTGCACCTTTCTTTTTTTTTTTTTTTGGTAACACCATCTTGCATCTTTACTTCAGAGAAAGGTGACTACGGGATTAATCAGGAAATGAAAAGCAAATATGTAAATAACAACTCAGAACTCTGCAGTTAAAGTTGTCTAATTCTGATGCCTCTCTCAGCTGTAGTTGATAGAAAATAATAAAATTCCTGTACCAGCATTCATCCTATCTGTTAAAACTATGACATGACATTCCAAAGGACCTCCTTAAGAGATGGAAAGAATTTTGAATGAGGCGAAAGATAAAACGCTTTTAAAAGATTGTTATCTTCTCTTCCATCTGATTCAAGATGAACCTTTGGTGGTAAGGGCTTATGTAAAATGTACAGCATGGACTGTTGCTCCTAGTCAAGGCATTTTGATTTCTATAAAGTTCTATCCATGAGATAACAACCAAGAACACGAATAAATCTAGCATATTCCTGAAATGAAAAAAAAAGGACCAACAATGAGTTAATATTTGACAACTACATTGGAAGAGTTCTAAAAAGGGTTAAAGCCAGAAAAGAAAAATACCAACATAATACTTAATTTTGCAAACACAGTGAGGACTGCTAGAATTTTAAGAATGTAGCATGCAACTGATTAGGGAAAAAAAGAGTTCAACTTTGTGGAGCTCATTTGTCCAACTGAGATGCTCCCTTCCTATCAACAAACAAAAAGGAAAAAAATACAAAAAGATGCTACCTTCCGAGGAACATTTTGGGACATGCTGTTGGGTCAAGCAGGTAGAAACTAGAAACAGCACTAATTTATAAGCATTTGGGATACAAAATTCTACCATAAGCTCAATGCAAAATGGAATATAACAAAATTGGATTTTATACATCATCAATCAGTTAAGGATATCTACTATTAATACTACAATATCATAGAATGCAAACAAGTCTGAGAACCTAACAGAAATACTAGAACATAGGTAAGAACTAGACTGAATACTCAAATAAATTAAAACAAAAACAAGGATTAGGATATAAAAAGGCATGGTAAACTACGTATTCACAGAAATCTATTCCATTGGTAACTAGAGACCACAGAAAAATAGAATTATAGGCTGGGAGCAACGACAAGAAAAAACATATTTTTATGATATAAACGGCTGACCTGCAAATTTTCCAAAGCATATTGTGCACGAGGGTCTGCCATAGAAGCTTCAAAATCAATGTAGAAAAGGTAGTCAAAGGACCTGCCATCAGAAAACTTTATGCCTAAATCATAGTTGCATAACATATTTCCATACAAAATACGAGAATATTAGAGCTTACCTATTAAGTAAAACCAAACCTCAGTCCCCAAAGTTTTTTCCTTCCTATTTTTGAACCAAATAGTTGGAAAAATGCTATTCAGAGTAAAGCTATAATATATTTGGTAATCTATTAATTTGAATGACTAGAGTGATTTCTACATATCATGAGCCCATCTTATGCCCCCTATTTTTTCTTTAACTAGTTATGGCCTTTTTAATTCTATAGTCAATCTATAGTTTACATACTGAATGATCTACCATTGCAAATCTCAAATAGGAAACAAAATCCATTACTTACTTGGCACTCCCTTCATTTGAATAATCAACAACCCTTAATGGCCGCTGCTTCATTGGACGACTCTCTATCTGAAATTACCCCCAAACAAATAAGAGCAATAGACATGGATTTTAGTTTCATATTTCAATAGTTTCAATTATTATTAAAGCAAACCTTTAAGAGTTTAATGTTCCTCAAAGCAAACGCTCCCAAGGCTTTGAATAGTACACCAGGACCTCCTTCTAAATTAAAAACAATGCTAGTCTGGGAGAAAAGTCATGCATTTGTCAGCAAATTATAAAAATAAATATAAATAACTAATATTTTTCTACCTTATAGGGCCTGTCAGTTCCTGGAATTATAGGCTCCCTTGCAAGTATCCAAAAGCGAGTAATATTATCATCATCCTAACAAGATGAAAATGAATCAGCTTAACTTTAATCTTGACATAACCAGCAATAACACTTGACGTAACCAGCAATAACAAACATGTTTGTTTTTTCTTCCTTTTTTTGGTTACAAAAAACATGTCTTCTGATAAATGCTATATATGGTGTAAAAGAATGAGCACTAATAAGTGTAATCATCAAACATTATTTCTTTGGACAACCATGCAGGTGTCTGCATGTGTCAGATTCCCTGGCATCTTTCAATAATGTACTATCTTTGTAAGTTAAAAGCACAGACATATATCTGCAGCTTTACAGTCATCTTAGTGCAGAGAAACTTGAAACTCAAGTAACAACTTCACATAAAGACACTTCTAAAACTGTAAGTATAAACTAACAACCGATTGGCAAAAACAAGATATAAGGCTTCCTTTTCATCAATACTTAAGTCTTCTAAGACCAATATTAGCTTCCAAAGCAACACGAACAAGGGAAGGTGGGAATTGATGTTATAGGTAATTATTGGAGTGGCAGAAAAAAATGAAGGGAAATGTGAATGTCGTTCCCCTCAATACAATCTAATTGCTATGACGTAGCAAAATACTGTAATGTTAATGTCATTTCAAGAACTTAATAATTAGGGATAAAGAAAAGCTTGATGTCTTGTTCATTTCCAAATGAGGAATGATGATCATAGTTCTTTTTAAAAGCACTGGCACAAAATTGAGAAAACAATAAATAATTAAGCATCATCCCATCCTAGCTAAGAAAGGAAAGCAATAATTTGGAAGATGTTCATCAATTCATCAAGTAAAAGCATTCAATCACTCATATTGCATGCATTCAAAAATGCGTTGTGATAAAAGAATACCATACACTAAGACTAAATGTTTTAGCAGCCAAGTCTTCCAAAACATTACCTGGATGTCTTCTGCAAGAATGTCAAGGCCATATATATTGGCAGCCCTAGAGCTTGCAATGGCTCCAGTGTCACTTACTCCTTTCGAGGCCACTTCCTGTCCATAACGTCCCAATGATTAGGATATGCTACTGCAAGTACAACCTAACCAATCCTTGCTTTCAGTGAAACAGAGAAAATTTGTAATGTACCTTGGCAGCAGCAGCAGTAGTATCATTCGCACCAATTTTGACAACACCTAAATCTCTAAGCATCATCTCACATTGAGCAAGAGCCTGCATGTAAGATTATCATTATAAAAATTTAAAATTTTAAAGTTATAGCTAGAGGTATTTTGTCATCAACCTGTATTTTAATATTTTATTGTCACTAATACTACATAATTGTTTTAGTCATCTGTCTCAAGTCTTTGCAATCATTAAATCGTGTAAGAGACAGCATATTAAGATAAGCCATCATTTCTGTTGAAAAATATTCAACAATTATGTAGAAGAAGAGTGACAATAAACCAGAGATATAATCCAATAAAAAATGGAAAAGAATTATATCTAAAAGCCAACCTGAGGATGACTCATAACACCTTTGAGTTCCTCTATTTTCACACCAACTAATCCTAAGAGGCAGTATTTAATTTGCAACTGCACCTCCCCAACAATGTGCAGCCTATTGCTAAGAAGTAAATCATAATTACGGTGGATGCTTCCACTAAAAGAACATTCAATTGGTAGAACTGCTTTATCCACCAAACACAATTCAACTGCCTGAAAAAAATAATATAAATTTGTCACTGCAGAATTTATTGGTTAATGTATTAAATGTGTAGAGATAGAAAAGAGAAAAGAAATAAAGAAACAAGTAATGGAACCTTGAATACAGCCTCAAAGTCATCACATGGCACAGTCTCACATTTTGGATATGCTTTCAAAGCTGCATCCTCGCTATATGATCCGGGAGCACCCTGTACCAGGGATTTGACTAGTTAGGAATGGCAATGGTGCCATGAATCTTTTATTTGAATAGAAACTACCAAGCATCATACCTGATAAGCAACACGCACATTTGACACATCTCTTGAAAAAGAAAATTCGCTTGCCGTCAATGGTTCTGCAAATTAAAGAGGTTACATAATCATGTTAAAAGGAAGGGAGAAAGAAAGGAAAGGAGATTAAATCACTTGCAGGAAAACATAGGTTGCATCCATTATAATATGGATATATTTTTTTTTTTTGTAATAATAATATGGATATTTTGTTTATTCGCATGCCCACACAATCCTACATGTGTATATGTGTGCATATCAGCATTGATGCAAAGTTTGAAGGGTATTTCTAAAAAGTGTGGTACAACCCTCTTAGTGTGTCAACTGAATTCATCATTCGACATGGATCACAAAAAAGACAGTATATGCTATATAAGTGGTTGAACATGAAGAAAAATTAGTGTTATATGACACATTTAGTCTATCCTATTCACGCAAGTGCATTTCCTCAATCATCTGTCTCTGTATCTTTCGTGTAAAAACATAAGTAATCACATCACCAATAGGATTGTAAATAGACTTGGATTAGGCTTTGGCTTAAATAGGTAAGTCTATTAGCCTTGTGTATACCCAAATTATAATTGTGGTCTTACCTATATTTAGAAAACTGAAATCTTGGCCTAAGTTTGTTAGCTTATTTTAGTCTATTAGGCATTCAATAATTAAAATAATATTACTTATTATTTAAAATTATTAAAATAATAATTCATTTATTTTATTAAAATAAATAATATAATATATGTTAACTTGTAGGCTTATAAGTATGACATATAAAAATAAGTCTATGGCCTGCTTTTTTAATAGGTTTTTTTTAAGCTTCTGTTGTATTTGACTATATGTAATAGGTCGAGTCTGACCTGTTGTTGGCCAAGCCATAAACGTTCTATTAGGCCGACTGACTCACGTATTTACACCCTTAATCACGAATATTCCTCTCTCTCTCTCTCTGTAGTTTTCATTTCCAACTATTTGAAATTAAGGGAAGGATGAAAAACAAATAGAGAACGATCAAAGTGCGTGTGTGTGTGTACAGAAGGGACGGTAGCAAAGTACAGTCAGCTCTTAAAGAAACACCAAATCCATTAACAGAAACATGCAACATTATCATCATGCATAATGAGTGCTTTGCGTGATCACAAACGCCAGCAAGAAGAAAGTAGCCAGAGCCCATATTCATTTGATTAAATAGGATGTGCTTTGCCAATTTAAGGTATCCACATCTTTCAACTTAAAATTCTTTGTAAAAAGAAAGGAAAAAATGTTTATCATTTCAAAGGAGGTAAAGTTGTGTCATTTCAAGTAAGAGAAAGAGATAGATAAAGGAGGAGAGAGAATTGACAAAAAAATATAAACGTGTGAGTCTCACCTCCTTGTGAGAGTAAAATAACATAAGTTGTGTCATTTAAAAGGAAACATTTTTTCAAGAAACAAAAAAGAATGCATAAAAAAGTTATGCCCCAAAATGCATATTTAAGATAGAATAGTAAATAAGCAATTTCTGATTCTGAGGTATGCGAGATTGGTATAAGCATAACTCAATGGTCACATAGCTAAAACTGGCAAAAATATTCTCCAAATGCCAACAAGTCATGGAAATGCTAAATTTCATTGTTAGATAGGTAAAACTCACTAGGAAGCATGTTTACATCCTGGTGACACCCCGTTGACTCATTTTTCTGAACGCAGACTCCATCACCAGCCCCAGAAGACTCAACCCCAGTCAAAGTTCCCTGAGCCAAAACACCAAAACTACATTCCCATTCGCGGCATTTCTCAAGATCATATCTTAAATTAACACTCAGCTTAGAACTAGCAGGCTGAAAACTTGCAAAGCCAAATTGAGGAGCTTTGGGACAACCCCAGATAAAACAACCCTTGAGAGCCATGAAAATCAAACAACCCAAAATCTCAAAAAAGCAGAATCTTTTGGAAGTCAGAGAAGAAGTCCACACTGATGAGAGTGCTTTGGGTTGGTGAAGGACTAATTAGGAGAGTTTTGTTGAATGCTAGCATTGCATTAGCGGTTGGCAAAGTCTATATCAGTTATGAACTGAAGTGTACCTCGAGTTCAATGAAGTTTTGGGAATTGAACTATAAGAAAGACCAGTGCGTAACGCATGACGACACAAAACATCCTAGGTTGTCATGTCAGAAAAAAAAACTGTTAGGAGACCAGCAAATGACTTTGGTTCAACTTTTATACCATTTAATCATTTTTTATTGAATAATATATCATAAAATTTACTATTTGGTCGAAAGTTTCTCTCTCTTACAAAATTTTATATATTATTTATACTTTATTGATTCATGTAAATATTAATATAATATATATTTTTAAAACATAAAAACAAGAATCACTTATTATATCTTTATTGCTATTAAATTTTAATAATATTAAATATAAATAATTAATTTGAAAAATAATTATAATTCAATAATTTATTCATTTAAATTTACATTTTATATAAAATTATTAGACCAAGTGCGAAAAGGAAAGTAAGAAGATTTAATAAAAGCACGACAATGTCAATTGACCATTATTAATTTACTTATTAAAAAATATGAGATTAATGTTTCTCATATTATAAGAGATATAATTATTTCTTACATATATATATATATATATATATATGATAAAATTACTTTGTATAATATGATAAACACTAATCCCTTACAAAATAACATCAAGTTTAAAATTACTTTGTATAAGTCAACACTCGAATTAAATTTAAGTGGATATACCTCTTTATTTCTTTTCTTTTTTTGTATAAAAATATTAGGTTTAATATTTTTTATATTATAGAAGATAAATTTAACTTCTGCACACATAAAAGTATGTGGGACTCATGCACGTTCATGTTAGGAGAAGAGAGAGAAAGAGAAAATATGGGTCCCACATATTTTTAAGTGTGTGTAGGAGATAAAATTAATTTCTATAACATAAAAAGCATTAAATCCAACAAAAATTGCACCATGAACTTATCGTAAGACCATAACATAATTAATGGGAAATATTGAATGCTCTTAAATAATTTTTTAAAAAAAATATGCATTTAATAGCCATTTTAAAAACTGGAAAATAATAAATGCTCCTAATTAATTAATTGGAGATATATGCATTTCATATTTTTGAATTTATTAAAATTAATTTTTTATTTTGGGTACATAGATACAGTTGTTTAAATGCTCCTAAATAAATATTTTTAAAATAATATTTTTAAATTAAACAAAAGGCATTTAATAGGCATTTTAAAATAATGGAGAATATTAAATGCTCCTAAGTAAGTAATGGAAGATATATCAATTTAATATTTTTAAATTAAATTCGTTAAATAAATATTTTTAAACCATAGGAATTTAATAGGTACTTTTAAACAATGGAAAACATTAAATGCTCTTAAGTAATTAATGAAATATATATGCATTTAATGTTTTTGAATTCACTAAAATTATTCTTTTATTTCGGGGACATGGAAACAGTTGTTTGAATGCTCTTAAATAAAATAGGTATTTTCAAAGAATGGAAAATATTAAATGATCCTAAGTAATTAATGGAAGATATATGCATTTAATATTTTTAAATTCATTAAAATTACTCTTTTTTCTGGATATAACATAGATACGGTTGATTAAATGCTCCTGAACAAATATACAAACAACATCATTTTTAAACAACGGAAATATTAAATGCTCCTAAGTATTTAATGGAAGATATATGCATTTAATATTTTTTAATTCATAAAAATCACTCTTTTATTTTGGGTATATAGACTTGAATGATTTTGTTAGATGATGTGGAACAATGACCAAAATGCCATTGTTTTCAATCTTTTTTTACCTAAATGCCATGCCAACAGTATTTTTTTCCGATATGCCACGTGAGTAAGTTCGTTGGACACTGTAACGAACTCAGATTGATGATGTATCACATTCCTGGTGGACACCAAGTTCGCTTTGGCTGCAATAAATGCTGATAGGTAGGAAGAGTTCACTGCCACTTACAGTGAACTAGGTGTGCCACGTGTCTGACATGCATCTAGTTCACTGAGGGTTCAAGCGAACTATGTGCCATGTGGCACCACCCCCATAGTTCGCTGGCCCATGCAGCGAACTAGGTGCCACGTGGTAGCAACTGACACAGTTTGTTGTACCCTGTAGCGAACTTTGTGGCACGTAGCAGTTCCCTGCAAGTTCGCTGGATGGGACAGCGAACTACTTGCCGACAGTTACAGTTCGCTGGCTTTTATAGTGAACTCAGTGTTATTTATTCCCCCCTTCCCCTCCCACCCCCACTTTGTTATTCTGTTGCATTTTTCCTTGCAAAGAACCAATTTTTTCTGCCTATTCTATATAATTTCAATACATAATGAGTGAGAGTACCAATGATTTAATATGCATTTTATATTACAATGGGAGAAGATATTTCGAACCGAACGGTCAAGTGTTTAAAGGAGATACGAAGATGTTTTGCATGAGCTCCCGTTGCAAATATAGTGAGCTGAAGAAAATAATATACAGAAAGTTGAGATTACAACGGGGTCAATCCCTATCTCGACTGATTGCTAGATGTGCCTCAGGTAACCCGGTGCAGTGAGTTGCTGTGGAGGAAGAAGATGTCTCGTTAGTAGTTGATGCATTTCGACAGCATGGAGAGTCCTCATACATCGAGCTATATGCGGAACTAAACACTAGTGGAGAGGCAAGCACTCAAAGTTCTGTCCCTAGCAATTACTCCATAGTCATTAACAGGGAGCCGCTAATAAATCTGGATAATATGCATGTGTCACCCCCACTAACAATGCCACCGGATGTGATTCCTGCCCATGACATGTATAATACCTCGTGGCGTACTGATAGTTCCGAGGAAGAGATTGATGAAGGTCTTGTTCCTGATAATGACTCATCGGATACAGACGTTGATGGTGATTTTGAAATGAAGCCGTCTAGTGCATTGTGTGAATTGATTCCATCACCGGGCATTGTCGGTACGCATGACCCACCGCCAGTGGCAGGTTAGGTTATTTACGGTTGCTTTTTTGTTTTTCGAAATGATATTAGTAATGACATGCGTTGGGATCAAACAGGGGATGATACTGTTCCATTTTGGTCGTAAACTGGCCGTTTCACGAACATTAACTGGGCATACCCAGATCAGAAGTGTGATGAAATGCAAGTGGCACAAGTACCAAATTGGCAGATGGGTCAAGAGCTCCATAAGGACCAGGTGTTTGAAAGCAAGCAGGATGTACAGATGGCCATCAAACAATATTGTATGGCAAATCATCACACAAGTGTCGTACAAAAAAGTTATACAAAAAGGTTGATAATGGTTTGTCAAAATCACAATGACAGTTGTCCATGGAGGATGAGGGCATATCTCAAAAAAGGAGGTGCCGAATGGTTAATAGTGTTAGGAATGTGGCTTCTATACTCAAAAGGTGGGTGAATTGAGTATTACAAGATTTTTAGCAAAAATCCCTTTCTAGTTTCTAAATAATGATTTCAAGCAATCTTTGATATGTGAAAAGCTAATCAATACATTCAAATAATCCATAATATATATTATATCACAATTATAGAACTTATTCTAGCACATACAAGATATCAAGGAAGCAATTAAAGTGCTAGAATTAAAGAGTTTAGAGTTTAGAGAATTGTAAACACAATATATCCTGGTTCGGTCACCACCACTTATGACCTACGTCCAGACTGAAGCCGCTCGATCAACTATTTCACTAATGGTCAAGCTTCACGGGTGCTTGACAAACCTTTACAATCTTCCAAGGCTTCAGGTTCTTGGATACCTTACAATCTCCAAGTTTATGGATACTTGGCAATCTTACAATTCACTCCAAATTTACTTAGGTATTTGGCTACCTCTCAAACAATGGGTCTCACAACCCTTTCAACTCAAGAATATAAAGAGAGAAATATTTGGAAATGAATATACACTCTCAAAGTGTGGATATACAACTTGAAGCACTATGGGGCTGTTTGGTATCCGGTAATTTGTTGGATATCCTGGAAAGTGGAAGTGGGAATGATTTATTTCCACGTTTGGTAGACGGAAAACATAAAAATTGACTGGGTATGGTTTATTCCCCGGCAATTGGCTTACACTACCGATCATGGAATCGAGTTCCCATTTAAAACATGGTAATGGTCAGTTCCCAGGTCTCGGCTTCTTGACGTGCCATTTCTCAGACTAAAGTACCCTCAAACCCTATCTTATCATTTATGCCAAAAAATAGATTTGTGGTGAAAAAGAATGAGGCTTTCCACCGATTAGGGCATACGGAGAACCATCTGTGGTTCATAACCTCTGAAACCACCACTCCACCGTGTTGCACCATAGTGTCCGACTGAAATTTGTTGAAGCTCGCATCAGTCCAAACTCGCTGTTACATCATATTTAGAACAACTTTCGGTCCTATAAGCATCCTCTCATCAACGCGCCGTTACATCATATTTCGTTTCTTCTTGTGCTTCTCTTCACTAGAGATAACACAACAACATATTGCACAGGTCTCTCTGGATACCACCACCCAGGTATATACCACGTATATTATGACCCTTTGTTTTTAACTGACTTTGTTTTCTTGGTATTTTAAATTGTTCTACTCGTTTTCTTTCTTGTAATTTCTTGATGATGGCTTTGATCGAGTTTGTATTTTTTATTTTTGGTTCTGTTTCTGTTTCTGTTCTTTTAAACTCCAAAGTTCTCAAATGGTTGAAATTTACTTAATCTTTGTGTTAAAAATAAAAAACTTTAGTTAATCAGTGGTATTGTTTTTTTTAATGGCCCTTTCTTTTCCTTTTGGCTGACCATATTCTTTGGTTCTGATTGCCCTTTTTTTAAATTTGTTGTCAAATTTAATAATAATGT